CCCTCAATTTGCAGTTCTTTGCCACCACAAAAAGAGCTGCTATAAATATTTTGTATGTATAGGTCCTTTTCCTTTTTCTTTCATTTCTTTGGAATACAGATAGTTGTATTGCTGGGTCAAAGAGTTATATACAGTTTTGTAGTCCTTTGGGCCTAGTTCCAAATTGTTCTTCAGAATGATTGGACAGTTCCCCATTCCACCAGCAGTTCAGTAATGTCCAAATTTTTCCCTCATCCCCTTTCAGCATTTTTCATTTTGGGTAGGGGTGAGTTGGTACCTTAGAGTTGTTTTAATTTGCACTTCTTTACTCAGTGATTTAGAGCATTTTTTTATATGATTATAGATAACTTCTTCTGAAAACTGCCTGTTTATATCCTTTGGCCATTTATCAATTGGGGAATGGCTCTTATTTTTATAAATTTGGCTCAGTTCTATACTCAGTATTTATTTGAGATATGAGGCTTTTGTCTGAGAAACTTGCTGTGAAAATTTTTTATATTACTTCATTGTCATTGTCTATGTATGTTTTGAGCAAAACATAGTTTCCGTGATGATCTCTTTTGCTTTTGCTCTGTTTTATTTGCTTTGTCTGAGATCAAGATTGTTACCCCTGCCTTTTTTGAGTTTAGCTGAAACATTGGATTCTGCTGCAGCCCATTATTTTAACTCTGTGTCTGTTTTTATGTTTCAAATGTGTCTCTGGTAACCAGGATATTGTTGGATTCTGATATCTAATCCATTCTGCTCTCTGCTTCTGTTTTATGGGTAATCTCATTCCTTTCAAATTCACAGTTAGGATTACTGTATATTTCCTTCCCTCCCGTTTTCTTCTGTTTCTTCTCTCTCTCTTTATCCTGTCCCTCCTCAAAAGTCTTTTTTGTTTCTAACCACTGCCTCCCGTAATCTGTCCTCCATTTTATCACACACACCCATTTTATTTCTTTCCCTTCCTAGTTCTCTATTGGATGAGTTACACAGCTGAGTCTGTTTATATTCTTCCCACTTTGAACCAACCTCCAATGAGAACAGGGTTCAAGCATTGCCTGCCACCCCCCAGTTCTCCACTGTAAAAGCTTTCTTGCACACTTCTTTTATGATAAGGTTTTCTCTATTCTACCTCTTCTTTCCTGCTTTTCCCAGTGCATTCCTTTTTCTCACCTCTTCATTTTTTTAGGAAATCAAGGTGACTCACACCTATGCCCTCTGTGTAAATGCCTTCCAACTGCCTTAATAATGATAAAGTTCTTAGGAGTTACATGTATCTTCTTTCCATATAGGGATGTTCACAGTTTAACTTTATTAAACCCCTTATGATGATTCTTTCGTGTTTACCTTTTTATGCTTCTCTTGAGTCTTGTGTTTGAATGTCACATTTTCTGTTCAGCGTTGATCTTTTCATCAGGAATGCTTGAAAGTCCACTATTTCATTAAATGCCCTTGTTTTTTCCCCTGAAGAATTACACTCAGTTTTTTCTGGGTAGGTGATTCTTGATTGTAATCTTAGCTCCTTTGCCTTCTAGAATAGTCATATTCTAACCCTTCTGCTCCTTTAATGTGGAAGCTGCTAAATCTTGTGTGATCCTGACTGTGGCTTCGCAGTGTTTGAATTGTTTCTTTCTCACTGCTTGAATTATTTTCCCTTACCTGGGAACTCTGGGTTTTGGCTATAATATTCCTAAAAAGTTTTCAATTTGGAATCTCTTTTTGGAGGTGATCGGTGGCTTTTTTTTTTTTGTCTAGGCATCACACAGCTAGTAAGTATCAAGTGTCTGAGGTCAGATTTGAACTCAGGTCCTCTTGACTCCAGGGCAGGTGCTTTATCTAATGTGCCACCTAGTTACACTGAGGTGGATTTTTTCAATTTCTGTTTTACCCTCTGGATCTAGGATATTGGGACTAGTTTCCTTGATAATTTCTTCTGATAGTCTAGTAGTTCTTAAATTATCTCTCCTTGATCTATTTTCTAGGTCATTTGTTTCTCCTATGAGATATTTCATATTTTCTAATATTTTTTCATTCTTTTATTGTTTCTTAATGTCTTTTGCCCAATTCTAATTTTTAAGGAGTTATTTTCTTCAGTGAGATCTTGTATCTCCTTTTCCATTTGACCTATTTTGCTTTTTGAGGTGTTATTTCTTCAGTATTTTTTTTGTACCTCTTTTACCAAGCTGTTAATCTTTTCATAATTTTCTTGCATCACACACCTTTCTTTTCCCAATTTTTTCTCCACTATTGTCTCTTTCTGTAATTCTTCCAGGAGTTCTTGTTGGGCTTGGGTCCAAATAGCATTTTTCGTTGAGGCTTTGTAGGTATTTTCACGTTGTTGTCTTCTTCTGAGTTTGTGTCTTGGTCTTCCCTGTCGCCATACCAACTTTTTATGGTCACGTCGTTGTTGATGTTGTTCTTGTTCATTTCCCCAGCCTATTTCTTGACTTTGCCCTTCGTATTAAAGTCGGGTTCTGCTCGCCTTGGGGTGGAGAGGTGTTGTGTCAAGCTTCAGACTTTTTTTGTGCTGTTTTCAGAGCTTGTTCTGGGGCTCTGCAAGTTTTTGGTGTTTCCAAGGTGACGTGATCCCGGTGTAGTTACTGCTCTGTGGTCCTTACCCAGGAATGGCTCCTGCTCCCCTGCAGGACAAATACCAGTGCTCCTCCTTCCCTTGGAACTGAGATCAGGACCCCTGCTCCCTTGTGACTGACCACTGGCACTCTTCTCTGCCCTGGAATTGTGACCCAAAACTTCCTGTGGGCAATAGAGCTGCCAGTTAGCATCAGCTGTGCCCAGTGCCAGCGAAGGGGTCCCCTGTCATCTTTCTGATCAGTTTTCTGACCCCCTTGCCTCTCGGCTGTGAGCTCCTGAAGCTGCTGCTGCTGGCACTGTCTGGACCTCCTAAGTTTTCTTAGGCCTGAAAAAAATGTCTCACGTTGACCTTTTGTTGATTCTGATGCCTTCCTAAGTCACTATTTTAAAGATTTGGAGGGGGGGGGATGTTGAGAGAGTTCAGCTGGTTTGCTGCCCCTAGTTGCCATCATCACTCATCCTCCTACCAGTGTATTCTCAGCATTTTTTGTGGTATGTTAGGAACTGAGGGCTGGTTATCCATCAGTTGAGAGAATGGCTGGGCCATTGGTGAATACATTAGAATTTGGAGGGGAGGACTTGAGATGCTCTAATGTAAGCGGGGAGCTGTAGTGACTGGGCGATAGAGCTAGGAAGGAGCCTTCCTCCCTCCTTGGCTTGGTTGGGCTTACTGGGTGTGTAGACTGGCCCACAGATCTAGTACTGCTGGGTTCATGTGTTGTGTGGTTTGGCTTTCTAGGTGGGGAAGGATATATTTGGAAATGTAGGTGGTGTCGGAGTGGTGGATAGCAAAAATTTAAAAAAAAGTAGCATTTCTAAAATGGAAGGAAGTGATTTGGTCCTTTTTATTTGTTTCGTGTTTAAACAGAATGTTCCTACTATTAGGCTGAGAAATGGAGGTGACCCATGGGTTCTTGCAGGCCACATGTCTAGAGTATAAGCCATGTCAAACCCTGTCCATCTTGGTGCACATTCCCAGGAGCTTAAGACCAGCATGGCTGAGTGTGGAGAGACGAGGCCATCTGCAGAGTGCTGAATTGTTTATTTCTGCTGTGCCAGCTCTCAGAGCAGTTTACCAAGTTGTAGAGGAGCCATGATCTCATGTTGGTGGGGGTTTTGCTTGTCACTTTACGTACTGGCAGAATCACAGACACTTGGGACTGTGATGTGAATAGGTAGATAATCTAAGTGTATTCGTATTCCTCTCTAATATGTTAAGGATGAAAATATGGGGGTGGGGGGTGAAAGAGTTTTCCTTTAAGTAACCTTTCCCCTGGATCATATTTTATAGTTTTCAGTCATATAGACAGCCATTATTTCTTTTGGTCTTAGAACAGCCTCTTGAAATACAGGTAGTAAAAATGATTCTGTTTCTGTTTTTTAAATGAGGAGAGTGATGTCCCGAGAAGTGAAAGGCTGTGGTTACTCAGTCAGCACACTTATTAAGTGCCTACTCTCTGCCAGGCACTGTGTCAGTACTGAAGAGAAAAAGGCAAAAGCAGCCCCTGCTCTTGAGGAATTAATTCTAGTAGGGGAGACGGTGGACAAACACTTAACCTATGTAAAAAGTACAAACAGGGTAAATTGGTGCTAATCTCAAAGGGAAGGCAGAAGCCTTTGGGGTGGCTGGGAAGAGATTCTTATAGAAGGTGGGATTTTAGTTGACACTTGAAGGAAGCCAGAAAACAGGTGGTGAGGGAGAACTTTGTACGCAAAGGGGAGAGCCAGTGAAGAGGCACCCATTGGGGGAAATGGAGTGTGTCACTGCATCTTAGAGTAGAGTGGCTGGAAGTTAGGTTGTAAAGTAAATAAGAAAGGGAGGAGAGGGCTGAATTATAAATGTTATAAATGACTTTAAAATCTTAATAGAGGATTTTATGCCATTGGAGTTTATTGAATCCCAGAGGGGTAGGGTGACGTGGTGGGACTTAGATTTTAGGAAGATCGTTTTGGTAGCTGAGGGGCAGAAGACCGTGTAGGAGGATTTGCCTCCTTCAAGTAAGCAGTGTATGTAGTACCTCCTTAGTAGTTTTAAGAAATGGGAAACTGTTTAAAGTGGTCACTGATAACAGTAGGAGACTATTCCAGTCACATACTGTACTGAAATTGCTTTTATAAGTTTCAGTGAACCCTTTATATTTTGGTTAACTTCTTAAACACAGTACAGTTTTCAAGTACTTCTATGATGATTGGCTCCTAGAAAATAAACTCAATATGCCAAATATTTTCAAATAAAACCACAGAATGGCATTTTATTCTAAGAATCTTTTAGTTAAAATCACATCTTACAGAGTTGATTCCATATTCATATTTTTTTTTCATTCCCTTAATATGGGTTAATTTATAGCTATTAACAGAGGATAAAGTTTTTAAAATGTGGTTTTCAGTTCTATGATTATTAATTCTGTTAATCTCTTTTACAGAAAGAGCTATCTGGACATAAGAATATTGTGGGTTACTTGGACTGTGCCATTAATTCAGTTAGTGATAATGTATGGGAAGTACTCATCTTAATGGAATACTGTCGAGGTAAGTAAACCACTAAATATTCCATTTATATTTTACAAAATAAAAAGAGCATGCTTTTAAAGTAGATAACTAGTTTCTCTTAGTACAACTGTCCCCATGATTCCAGGCACTTATTATTTCAGTTTTAGTTTTCAGTCTCAGCCTAATTAAGGAAGAATATTATAGTCATTTAAATCTTAGTGTTACTACAGAGATGACATGCCATCAATATACTGTTTTAAATGGATAATTAAAAATGTAGAGAAGTCTAAGCAGATAAAGAAAATATTTCTTGCAACAGGAAGCATTCTCCTTCCATGAGGTTTGTAATTCTGATTAAAATACAACAAAAGATAGTGGAATGCCATTGGGCAGGACTAACCTATTATATAACATGAATTATATCAGAATTCTGCCAAATTTAGCTGACTGAGGGGAAAAGATTTGACTCGGGCTGGCAGTGTAAGCCTGGAATCAGTGATGTGCAGTTTTCTTAAGTTTCGGAGGATACATAAACTAAATTGTATTTCAACATAATCATGTGATAATGCATTTTGCAAGTACCATGTTTACTGAATAGCTTTTTAACTTTTTTTTTTGCTGCTTTTCGTATTGTACAGTGGGTATGTGAGGCAGTTATGTCAGCATCTGAATCCTGCCAGGCTGACCATACCATCTTTCTGAAAGTGTCCATTCTTGCTTAGCATACCTAGGAAGCACTAATGGGTTCCTGTTGAGGGACAATTTTGTTGTTATTAATAGCTATCACAGTATTTTAAAAGCTGTGTCTAATGGCATTAATTTTGCGGGAAAAAACCATTATTTTGCTCTCTAAATTAAAGGATTAAAAAAAAAAGAATACAGAATATTCAGGGTTAATGTATTGTGAAAATTTGATTTTTAGGCCGTATAAAAATCCTTCAGATATTTAAATTCAGCATGGCTTTCTAGTTTTTCCCCTTATTTTTACATATTTTCAGCATTATATATATGTTATTATCTTTTTAACAGATACTTTTGTTTTCTCATTTCCCAGGTTTCTGAATTTCTGTAGCATTACAGTTGTTGATCTTTAACTGGAGTAGGCCAGAATTTGACAACTCTTATTTTTGATGTGATTGGGGAGTAGAGTAATTAACATCTGGATAACTTGATTTTCCCTGGCAAAATGAAGCTGTAGAAATACCCTTTAACCTGGTGACTGGGCTTATCTACCTGCTGTTTTCTCTAATTTAAGCCACCATTTGTTTACCCATTGTCATTATGGTGTTTGCCCTCTGATTTGATTTTTGCCAAGTTGTGACTGGTTCTGATGAAAAGTTTTAGTATTGCCCTATATTTCAAGGTTCAGAAACATCTTCAGAGAATGATAGAAATATTTAAGTGTCTATAACTAAATGAGATGTGGGAGGACTATATGTGCATACAGTTGAAATGAATGAGTTGGAGGCTGGGACTTCTTGAGACACCCACCCCCACAGCCACCCACAACGTCACCACTTTCATTTAGCAGAAAAGAAAGGAGACATTATACATAAACTTTTGAGGCAAGAGACTTTTACCCTGTTTAAAGCACCACAACTTTAAAATTTATAACATATATCTTTGCATTTTCATTTAAAACATGTATAATATAATTAGACTTTTTCTTGATTACTAAGGTAAGGATCAACGAAGTACCCAGGGACATTTAGCTTCTATGTTAAATAACTCTGAATTCCTGTGCTTTTTAGATATTTTCTCTACTTTTAAGGAATGGGGAACCTGTGGTCTTGAGGCCACATGTGGCCCTCTAGGTCCTTAAATGAGGCCCTTTGACTGAATCCAAACTTCACAGAACAAATCCCCTTAATAAAAGGGTTTATTCTGTAAAATTTAGACTCAGTCAAAAGGCTGCACCCAAGGACCTAGAAAGCCTCACGTGGCCTCTAGGCCTCAGATTCTCCACCCTTGTGTACTGCTGCCTTATTCTACACAAAATCAAATGGGTGATGGGTCTGCAGGTACCTTTTATAAAGGTGCATGGGCTTAGTAACAGCTATTTCGCTTGCAGTGAAGAAGCAATTTTTCTGTGTCTGCATTGGTTAAATTAGCCAGAAATATGACTTGTAGAGAGAAGTGAGGGTGTTGCTATAATAACTTTTAATTAAAATACTACTTTTTTAGAATAATTAATTAAAATTATTTATTAAAATTTTACTTGTCTGTTTCTCATAAAGATGTAAGTCTAATCAAAATAACAAATAAAATGAATGTCGGTGACGTGTATGATATGGTGGTGTTGACTTTGAAATTTGGTGACTTGATAAAGGGTGTCACCTTTCTTTCTAATGAAGATCACCAGTGAATACTTCAGTTTTAAAATGGACATTCCTAAATATGTGATTGTAGTGATTTAGATCTGTGAGAACCTTTGGGATCGTTTGTGGGGGGAGGGAAACTAAGGTTCAGGGAGTGGAATTTGGCCAGTATCATAGGACCTAGTGTGGTTGTGGGCAGATGATGTGTGACACAGTCATTTTTGCTGCAGATCTTTGACTCTCCCTCCCTGGTTTGAAATCTCTTTGCTTAGGCCAGCTTTCCTTTTCAGCCTTTTTTCCTCTCTTGGCAGCTGGACAAGTGGTGAATCAAATGAATAAGCGACTGCAGACGGGTTTTACAGAGCCAGAGGTGCTGCAGATCTTCTGTGATACCTGTGAGGCTGTGGCCAGGCTGCATCAGTGCAAGACTCCAATCGTGCACCGGGACCTCAAGGTAAGGTGCTGGCTGCCATTTTGTGAAGCTGAGCTACCTTTCTGGGATTCTTGATCCCCAGAATGAGTGTGGGAGCAACAGCCTTTGGTGTAAATGGATGCAGATTCTTTTATTTTCTTTATTAAGTACATTTTTTATGAGGAACGAATTTGTTTCTTTGTCATGTTCTTTGATTATTTTCAGTTGGACAAATGTAAGATAACATTTATATGCCATGTAAATCTTGCAGATTTCTCTACGAAAGTTGAAATTTCTAAGAAATTTCAGATGAGAATTCATGATTAAAAATCCTGAGGAAAATGTTGTTTAATTCTATGTAGGCCATACTTTGAAAGCCTGATGTTTATAATTGTATAAAGCTATATAATTCTATATATAAATCTGTGCTATTTATAATTTTTTGAAGATAGCTATTGTCTACATATTTATGGTTGGTGAATTTTTTCCCTGTGGTATGAAAAAACCTGGTGATGGGTAGTGCAAAATTATAAAAGAAGAAAATTAAAGTAATGATTTAACTTGGGAACTGAAAGAATTATACAGGGAAATTAAAACTGCATTGTTTTTGTAAAGAAGAGAGAAGAGTGTCATATAAATTAATAGTACATGCAAAATGTATTTCATATTTAGTGGCACATTTTGGTTGGCCTTATATGTGAGTGAGTAGTTAGATAAATTTCTTTTAATGGTACTCAGATTTTTTTTTTTAAGAATTGTGGAAGAAGCCTATCACTACATACACTGATGGATATTAAATAGTATACATCAAAACTTGCCTATGGTTAAGTGAATTTTGAGTAGTGTTCTAGGCAGGAGTTTTGTACTTAGGGCTTTAGAAGTAGTTATGGGGTAAGGGGAAGGAGACTCCTTCAATGTTTCTTTGCAAATAAGCTATCATTCCACATCAAACTAGCCAATCACAATCTTAATTGGTTGTGAAGTGATTTTTGACCAACCTGGTGCTCTTTGATTATGCTGGAACCCTGGATGATATAGAAGTCTTAACTGATTTAACATTCAGAGGGTTTCAGGCAGTGTTCTGAGTCTATTGGCTATAGGCTGCCACTCCAGAAATGCCTTATCAGGAGCAGTTTCTATTGAGTCCTCAGATTACTGCTTAGGACATTGAGAAACACCTCAAGTAACTGCAGTGGATATAGAGGGCTTTCTTTTGAGACTTTTCCATAAATGTCCTGTTTTCTTTATGGACTTAGTCTTGAGAGAAGGGAAACATTTTAGCACTAGTCAAAGAAAGGTATAAAACTGCTGCTACCCTTCCTCACTCCACGATGCCTTTGTTGTCTTTGCCGTCTGCTGTAGAAATGTTGCCATTATGTTAAGTGAAGTAAGACAGGAGAATGAAAGTAAAGCAGGAGAACACAGTACATATAATCTGGCTGACTTCTTCCACTTAGCCTTTTGGGAGAGCCTTTCTACATCAGGGCTATCCTGAACTGTGATATGATGACTAGTGTGATGGCCTTTTGACCTTTATTTGGGTAAAGTTAGATTTTTCTCTTTAGTCACACAAGTCACTCAACTCAGATTACTGAGCATTCATTAAACACCTGTTTCTCCATGGTCCCTGCCCTCAACAAACTTATGTCCTGATCTCTCTGTGTGTGTATTTACATAAATATAACATAACCATAAAAAGGTATAATGTAAGGTAAAACTGAGGAGGAAGAGATAAATTTGAAAACATTTGTAATAATTCATTTTTTTTCCCTTAAGGTAGAAAATATTTTGTTGAATGATGGTGGAAACTATGTCCTTTGTGATTTTGGCAGTGCAACTAATAAATTCCTTAATCCTCAGAAAGATGGGGTAAACATAGTGGAAGAAGAAATTAAAAAGTAAGTCTGGGGGGGTGTCTTATACTTTATTTTGTGAGGATATAAGTAAATTTTGATGTGTTTCTAATCCTATAAATAAAACAAACCTATTGGAATTAATTCTAGGAATTAAGTTAAATGAATTGGGTTTCAGCACTTTAGTTGGTAATTAACATCTGAATCTAGTGCAGTAGGAAATATTTGACGCCTTTGATACTATTTTGCATTTAGCTTTTATTTCTGATATTTATAAGCAGAGTTGCTAACTATATTTCAATAAGAATGGCATCATTACAGATATATTTAAGAGAACACAAAATGTAGTTAGTAACCTTTGTTTTCATGGGTGCTTATTGTGAGACCTTATACATGCAAATTATTCTTTGTCCTAATAATTGCAAAATATCTGGTCTTTTCCTTATGATTTAATATTAAGAAGGATAATTACATACTTTGAGGAAAATCATGATTATTGGTCTTTTAAAATGGAATGCTCCTATAATTTTATATATCTTTGAACTATGCAGGGCTTTGGTTAAAAAGTAAGAACCAAGTTCTTAAGCTTTTGTGTATCATGTATTTAACATAATTTGAAAAAGTCAAGGCTCCATCAATAGCCATTTTTCCTACTTATAATATTTTCTTCATCCTTTGGAAAATGGAATTGTTTCATTATACTTTATTACCTCCAACAAAATATACTTAAATATCATAGTATGAATAGAGTTATGTAATATATGCCCCAGCTCCTACCTCTCTGATATACCTACTCTTACTTGGAGTATGCCATCCTAACAGGATATCCTAAGAAGGCATTCAAGAATTTTAGTTTATTTAGGTGTGAGACCCTAATAGTGAAACATAGATTTACTTCATAATTACTTCTGATGACATTAGGAAAATATATTTCTCATTAAAAGAATTTCCTTCACATAAAGAAATGTTATTAAAATTTTAGTGTTACATAGTATGTATACTTTAGGTTTCAACCATTTTTCTTCCTTTCTGTTTGTCTTCACATTTCCTTCCAGATAGCTTCAGCTGAGTATGGATTTCAGCAGTGTAGATGTAGATCAGAGGATCACACATGTAGAAAGAAGATAGAAGTGAGCTAGGTTATCTATCGGTGTGTATAAATATCTATGTATTCACATACAGTGATATACATATAGTATAAAGGAGAAACCCTACAATATTTAAGGTACTTTATTTATAAGGTGTTTATTTCCTAAGTAAGATAATTCTCCAGGAAACATAGAGAAGTAATAAAAAATAGCATCAAATGTAAGTTTGTATTTAAAGTTGAGAGAATCTAAGAATGTTTTCATAAAGAAATTATTAAAAATTAATTTTATAATTTTAAACAAGGAATTTAAGGGAGACAATCCATTGCCATCATTTAAAGCCCTGAATAAAGGAAATAAAGTTTTCTTATTAGCATTGGAATCTTTTTCAGTACCTTCTGTTGATTAATCCTTGGGGACTATTGATGACTTTTTAAATCCTAAGACACAAGACTATTGCACATAGAAGGTTTGTTTGTAATAACTTATGGCATGTAGTTATTCAATTTTATTTTTTGGGGGAACCAATGTAGTATCTTTCTTTTGTTGACATCTCCATTCCAATTCACTTATTTACTGCCAGGTATACGACTCTGTCATACAGAGCTCCTGAAATGATCAACCTTTATGGAGGGAAACCTATTACCACCAAGGCTGATATCTGGGTAAGGAAAAGAGAAGAGCACAATTTATTTCAGGCAAGTCAAATATGAAATGATGAAAGAGTCCAGCTCAGGATAAAGAAAAAGATCACTAACTTCATAGTGAGTAGAAAAAAGAAGGCAATATGGTTTATATTCATGGAAATTAAAAGGATTAGAAACAGTGTTATTAATCTAAGACTTGAAATTGAGGACTTTTTGCTTGTAATGATTTTCTTGAAGTAGATAAATTATTTCTAAATAAGTTAATTTTTTGACTTATTGATAAAATGTTTCAAATGTATTTTTCTGGCCTGTTGGCGTTTAGGCTGGTTCATGGTTCAGAAAAATTGGATACACGTAATTAAAAATATGCAATACTTTAGGGAGTACTTTTGAAGTCAGTTAAAGGAAACCAACACAATTAATGTTATCTATATTATCTCTCTGTATGTATGCAGATACTTTTTAAATTGAGAGACATATCATAGAATAGCTTCTGTGTATTAAGGTTTATCAATATAACTTAGTTTTTAGAAATAGAATTATGAAACATTAGTTGCAAGGCATCTTTAAAGGCTTCTAGTTTGACTCCTCTTTTTACAGGTGAGGATCATGTTATATGAAGCTATTTGATTTTTTATTAAGTTGCCATATTCTAAATGGCTAGTATTTTGATTCCTTTCTAGCCTAGGATGTTTAAGTAGCTGATGTCAGTATTCTTCCTCTTTGAAAAGAGGTGTAGACCTAGTTTATACCCAGTGTAATTCATAGAATAAGTGGTTTTTACTCATGGCCTTCACTGGCTCATAGAGCTTTCATTCGCTCTTTTACTCTTCCCTTGTTTTATGTTGAAGTCTGCATGTAAACAGTCTCTGACCATGAGGAGTTTTCATTGGACAGAAGTTTTACATCTTCTGTATCCATTCTTTCTTTCGTAACTTATCAGAAAAGCTAGTCTTGGATACTTTGCTAGATCCGTGATTTTACTTTTTGTATACGCTCTCCACCACTGCGGATGTTGAGTCCTCTAGGCCTTCTTACACTGTCTGTTCATGCCTGTGTTTTCCTATTGATCCTTCATAGAGGACTTATTTAAGACCCTAGTAAGCGAAAGGTTTAATAATAGGGAGGAAAAAAAACATTCCGATAAACTTTTCAAGGCCCAGTTATTTAAAAAAAAAATTTTAGGCATTGACTTTGAAATGTATGAATTTTCTTTATATCCTGTCTAGCTCTAAAATTGTTAAAAGGAGTCTAGTCAAACCAAAGTAATAATGTATGTCGTTTAGTGAATTTAGTATTATCCCTAGACCACCAGTCTGCATAATTTAAATAATAATCCTAGTTCACGTTTATGTAGCAGTTAAAAGTTTAAAGAGTATTTTTGGTCATAAACTCTGTGTAACTCTGTGACATGGTCAGAAGTGTCGAACATTTGTCCTGCAACATTTCTGAAGGCATCACAAACCAGATTAAAATGTAATCGGCAAATATTTAACAAAATAAAAGTATATTTTTAAAAGTAAGACACTTTGTGGCATGCAGGGCTGCTGATGTATGTGTGAGTGACCACCGTTTCTGTTTGAGCTTGACATCCCTGGTCTCAGCATTGTCATCACTGGAGGTTAAGTGATCGGCCGAGGGTCTTGCAGCTGGCACTTGTCAGCCAGGCCTGTGCTCTTTCCATGCAATGTAACCCAGTGCACTGAGCCTCAGGCCTGGGAGCAGAAGGGATGACTCCAAACAACAGCTGTTTGTGTGACTTGAGGCAGGGCACTTGGACTTTCTGCCCCTCAGCTCTTTAACGTATAAATGAGTCTGGTGACACAGGAGATGAAGCATTGGACCTGGAGTCAGGAAGACCTGAGTTCAACTTTGGTCTCAGCTTTGTGGCTTTGGGCAAGTCACTGAACCTCTATTTGCTTCAGTTTCTTCAACTGTTAAACCAGTCAGTAAACATTAAGTGCCTACTATGTACCAGGCACTGTGGTAAGCGCTGGGGATACAGAGAGAGGCAAAAGACAGGCCTTGCCCTTAAGGAGCCAGATAACAAGCAAACAGCCTACGTTTGGGATAAATAGGAAACAAGTCAACTTATTTGAGGGAAGGCACTTTTTATAGAAGGTGGGGTTTTCACTGGGACTTGAAAGAAGCCAAGAAATCCAGAATGCAGAGATGAGATCTGAGGACATTCCAGGCATGGGGGACGGCAGAGAGAATATTGAGAGCTGAGAGATGAAGGGTCTTGTTCATGGAACAGCTAGGAGGCCAGTGTCCCTGGAGTGAAGAGGACCATGCCAAGGGACTAAGGTATAAGAAGACTGGAAATTTAGCAGAGGGTTAGGGTATGAAGGGCTTTCAGTGCCAAAGGGAGCATCTTGTATTTGCTCTTGGAGGCAGTGGGGAGCTACTGGAGTTTATTGAGTAGGGGGCTGGCACGGTCAGACTTGTGCCTCAGGAAAATCACTTTGGTGGTGAATGGAGGATGGGTTGACATAAACAGGGAGGAGGAGGAGGAGGATGAGGATGAGGATGATGATGATGATGATGATGATGATGATGATGATGATGATAATGATAATGATAGCATCTGTCCTCCAGGATTGTTAGGAAGATTAAATGAAATAATACTTGTGAAGCGCTTTTCAAACCTTTAAACATTATATAGATGCTAATTGTTGCTATTGTTATTATGCTAAATCTTCTAAAGTGTAGTTGAATTCTTAAAATTGCTACTATGACTGAGTACTATACAACTTGGATATCAGGCCAGTACTCAGTGGCAGGGAAAATTGCAAGAGAGACCATAACCTTGATGATTTTTAAACCAGAAAGAGTATATTAAACTCATGATTCAAACACCTGATAATAAGATGGTTATAGGATGCTGCCTTATTTTCAAGTTTAGAAAACATTTGAATATTGTTAGGTCATTGAACTGTGTGAAGATGAATATTTTATGTGGCATTTCGGCTCATATACTTCATTTTAGATTTTGTTTTAATATTTAAATAAAGGTTAAGTAAAAAGTAAATTGCATTAAACTGTTTTCTGTGGCTTTTTTGTTTGTTTTTTTACCATAGGCCATTATATAAGTATTTGCAAGAGCAAGAAATAGAGAAGGGGAATGGAACTGAGATTGTCTAGCCTAAATTATAAATTGCTCTATCTTTAGAGAATTGAGATTCAAAATTAACTGTTCCAAGAATTGTAAAGCCCTTTATTTGTATTTTTAAGGAATTTATACAACAATTAATAATAATAAAGATAGCACTTTAAAGTTGGCAGAGTACTTTAGGTACATTATGTTGTGCCTCAGTAATTTTGAAAGATAAAATTCACAGGTATTATTTTTATCGTTGTTGCCCTTTTACATAAGGGGAAACCAAGCCTTATTGTCATATAACTAGTATGTGTCAGAGGTGAAATTGGAACCCATGTCTGCTGCCTAGCTCAGAATGTAACTCTGTTCACTATTGTGACACCAGCCAGAGTGCAGCTGTGAAATGACGTGACTAAAGTTAGTGGAGTGGAGTAGAAACAAGCATCTGACAGTGATCTGATGATTCAGGTAAACTAGGTTCTGGTCCCAGGTGTGCTCCTTGACTTAGGTATGTCACCCAAGGGTAACCTCACCTTACCTAGAAAGTAATGGAATTGAGCTAAATGACCTAAGGTTTCTTCCAGCTCTCCTGCTTTTTGGTTTGTACAGTACAAAGCAAAGCTATAGTAGATAGCTTTAGAAGCAGTGGAAAAACTTTTAAGAATATCACCCTTGATTACTCACCTCAGTGATCTCCAAACGTCTGACTGTAAACTACCTCCATGGTGCTGTCTCTGTATGTGGGCTACCTAGAGTTTATTTAGGAGACCCTGTTGTTGTTCTGCCAAAACACTGTTTAGGTACTCTTCAGTCATTTCTTAAAAACCATCTGTGCCCATAAATACTTGAAACAGCTAAGTGTCATATGTGTTCCCCAAAAATTTTAAAAAAAAAGTTTACAACTAAAAAAAAAATCGCCCTTGAGACTGCCCTACATTAGCTGATGTGAGAGACAATAAGAAGGGATTTACATTTTTATCAGTGACTTCAGGATCATACAGAATTACCAAGTCAGTAACAGATCAGTCAAAATCAGATTTTGTTTTCAGGACAAGTGGCAGCAGCATTCCATGATTCTGTAGTGATAGTAGGTTTATAGCATTTGTTTAGCGTTTGAGGAATTTTGAACTTCTTTTTGGTTGGAAATTTACACTCTAGACCTTGTGGTTCCAAATATATTCTTCTGTCATTGAGGTATAGAATAATGTTCTTTTTAAAAATGAAAATCCAACAGAGTTACCACAGGTTGCCTTTTAATGTGGAAAAACAGTGAAGAAATCATGGACTTAACTCAGCTCATCTTCTCTTTTTTCTCTTCCCAGTCATGCAAGAGAATTTTCTGTGGCCCAAATGATGAAAGAAAAAATTCTTTAGCATTTAAAAAAGCTATAACTATGTCAAATTGAAGTATTTTTTTTAAAGGAATTTTCTCCCCAGTGGACTCTCTCAGCATTATTACTCATGTCTGGAATTATTTGCTCATAAAAATTTAACTACTTAAGGGGAAAATAATGCAAATTGTTGAAAGTTAATTTAATGAAGCAAAACTGGCCACTTGTCAATAGTTTTAAAATTTAGGCTGCATGTTAACTTTTCTGTGATTTTGGCAGTCAAGTAGCGTGTATGATTTTCTTAACGCAGCTCTTAGGCTATTAAGAAAAGTTTTGGGCATCATTTGTAGCTTTTCCTACGTTGATCATTGCTCTTAGAGTGAAGCTTATGTTTAATTTGCTATTTTTTTCTCCTGAAGATTTCTTTCTTAAGGAAGCAGTGATGGTTTGAAGTTCTTTTAAAATGAGGCTACTTCTTGAACTTAAGGACTCAGTTTCTTCTCTCTTAATCGTATCTTGTAATTTAATTTAGTATCAATTAAAATGTGTATCAACTATGAAATGATGAATTGTAATTTATAGATATTTTAATTTTCTGATCAATTAATTCTGATAATTAATGTAAGGATCAACTGTTGCAAGCCAGTGTTTATCTTGTTAGTGTACATCTGTAATTTTTGTACAGAAACAGCCAAGGGATAATAATTTTTCCCCAGCATGACCATCAAAAGTATGAAGTGCGCCTATCTATTGTTATCTGGTAATTGGCTACATTTAATATTTAGCTTTTGAGAAAAGTTGGAAAGTAAACTTGACTTGTCATTTTTTAAATAAAGTTAGGACAATATTTTAGTATGCCTAAATGTGTACTAATTACCATGTAATTGGAAAATGTTCAGTAATTTGGTTTGGAGTATCTTAAGATCTTTGGGCTTTTAATTGTTCCCATTTCTTAAACTGTGTTAAAATTGGGTAATTTTTTGATGCCTTAATCTGTTCTGTTTCTGTTCTCTCTCTGTGTGTGTGTGTGTGTGTGTGTGTGTGTGTGTGTGTGTTGGTATAAGCGAATATTTTGTTTTATTTAAATAGCTTGTCAAATCGCAGTTTAACAAACGTATACGAACATAATAAAACAGTGTTAAGATAAGAGGGGAGATATATATGGAGAAGACATAATCTAATACCTATTGAAAACCACTTTCTAAAGAACTTGCCTTGTTTCATGCTGTGTATATGTGGATACAGTCCAGGATATAATCCAGAATCTTAAAGCAATGTGTTTTTTTCCTCAGTAACATCAAAAACATTTTTTTTTTGCTTAGTACTTTAAACACACTTATGTCTAAATATCCATTCTGAAATAATCAGGGAAGGCCTAAAAATTTGCAGAATTTGAAATTGTTGAGACTTCTTCCAATTTTCACTAGCACTTTAAAGCAGAATCCATCAATAAGTTAACTTTCTGTTTCCACAATTTTTTTCCCACAAATTTTCACTCTGTGCTGAGTGGAAGAGCCCTTGATTCAGTGTAATGATACAAATGGGGATATAAACATGAATGGATGTCTGAGGAGGAATTGTACATTTGGACTAGGAGGGTCCCTCATGCAAGCAAACGAGGCCTCTCTTATCATTTTCTTGTGGCTCAAAGCTGCACAGCGCTTTACCGTGGTCACGCGCACTTGGCACTTCATGTGATGTGTGATAGACATGTAGGTCCACACCTCATGGAATATATCCTTACCCAGTAAGTGAAGGAAAATACACAATAAAAACAGAACAGAAACACAAATGTCTCTGTAGTGCCTTAGCATGGTGTAAAGGTGACCCTTGGTTCTTACAGGCGACTTCAGCGAAGCACTGGTGGTAACTGGCTCCACCACATAGGAGAGATTCAGAAAGAGCAGACCATGACATTTGTGTTTCTTCATCAAGAGCTACTGTTTGAATAGGCTTATCACAATAAGTTCCTTGTGGCCACAGCAGCTCTGGGAGTAACCTGCAGAGGGCAGGAAGTGTGGATGACCTGTACCAGTGGAAGGGGAGGAACTGCTGTGGCTGTGAAAACAGATTTCTTTTTGAAGCATCAAAGTCATTTACTCTTATATTGATATTTACCTAACAGCAGTTATTAATTGCTTAAATTCATGTCTGTTGGAAAATTTACCGTAGTGAAGTATTACTTTGTAAGTTAATGATCCTCCTAGACTAGATCTGTTGTCTCAGACACATGAGTGTTTTATCCTCCACAACCCTGTGAGCTCCTTTTAGTTCTGTACCTGGTCTGCAATCCCTCCGTAGTGCCTGTTGAATATCTTTTTATTTGTCAAATTATAATTATGTATGTCTTTTTTCTCCCTCTGCCTCTCCCTTGGGGTGTGTGTGTGTGTGTGTGTGTGTGTGTGTGTGTGTGTGTGTATGTGCGCGCGCGCGCATTTGGCTGTCTGTCCATCTGTATACTGTATAGGCAATTTGCATTCTTCTACTTGTTTTTTTCTTTGTGGATTGTTAGGCTGATTTCTGATTGGCTACAGAAACATAACCCAAGAGTAACCATCACAGTGACGATTTCTCACCATATTTTTTATGTAAGGTTCTTTAATAATACATAGCTCCCTTTATTGCCAGCACTTGGAGCTCCGGGATCTGCTGGCAGTTTTCATATCTAGAATGCAGAGGTTTTTTTGTTAGAATTATAAAAGTCAAACTAGAACAGTTTATATAGGTCAAGTATGTGAATTTAGGTGTGAAATAGCTGGCCAGGTACTTTATGTGTTAAGGATTATAACTAAAGAGTTTGTGAAAAGAATGATTTATCCATTACAAAAAAATGGAGGCATTTTTCTTTCTTCGATGGGTACCAAGTACATTAAGTCGTAAGTGACCCTGATTTTAAGAAGTAGCATGCTCAAACTGGGTTTCATGAAACTCTCAGATGTAATGGAGATTGATGCAACCAAGTTTGAGAAATAGATGGGTTTCTCTCTGAGTGACGTTGACTTACTTTATTCTTTGTCCTGTGATGAAGCTCATGTCTTTTCTCTTTGTTTACAGGCATTGGGATGCTTGCTGTATAAGCTTTGCTTCTTTGCTGTTCCCTTTGGTGAGAGTCAGGTTGCTATTTGTGACGGCAATTTTACTGTCCCTGACAATTCTCGTTATTCTCATAACATGCACTGCTTAATAAGTAAGTATCTGAATGAGGTATGAAAGGTGAAGACTTTCAGAAAAGCTATGTTAAGAAACTTACCTTTAAATTATTTGGTAAATCTCCCTCCCAAGAGATAATGATTCTCATTTACATCTTTTGTTCCAAATCTGTTATATATGTACTTAGGCTGACAGCACTCTGCTGCTAAAATAAGGGTGTACTTGGACAAGCTGCCCTGGACAAGGGTTTTTACAGGATATTTCTTTGATATATCACTTGGCAACAGTATGGATGGTTAAATAAAAATAATTCCCTCAGTGCTGAGGCTTTACTTTGCTTCATAGAGTTCCTTTAAAAATCTAATAACTAGGAGCAGCTAGGTGGCGTAGTGGATAGAGCGCTAGCCCTGGAGTCAGGAGGACCTGAGTTCAAATCCGGCCTCAGACATTTGACACTTAGTAGCGGTGTGACCCTGAGCAAGTCACTTAACCCCATTGCCTAGTGCCTCCCCCCCCAAAAAAAATTCAATAACTAAGGTGAACAGAGAAATTTTTCTTTGTTATTCTATGTTTATATTGAGTAAAAGGTTATTTAAGTGGCAGGTTAGGGAATTCCATAAATAAAGTATAACTGGATTTTAGGAAAACATGACAATGTCCTGTGTGACATCCTTAACAACAAGGGAGATGTGGGCTGTGTGATAGGTGAATGTGTAACTTGATGAATGGTCACACTAAAAGGGCGATGACCCAAGCATTCATATCAGCCTGGAGGGGACAGCTTTAGTGGAATGGCCCATAACTCTTTTACCCAACATTTTTGTCGGTAACTTTTATAAAGACATAAAGGAAATGCTAATCAGATTCACAGATAACATGAAGCTAGGAGGAACAGTTGTCACATCGGTTGACAGAGTTGAGTTCTTAAATGATTTGGATAATGGTCCAAATAAGATGGCATTTAGTAGGGATTGATCTAAAAAGCTACAGTCGAGTTCAAAAAACCAGCTGTACATAAAAAGGGAAGAAAGATATGGTAGGCAACAGTGAATGAGAAAAAGATGTAAGACTTAGTGATACGAAAGCTTTCTCTGAATCAAGAGGGGCGGCCTTGCCCCTCACTGCATCTCAGGGCGGCGTTGGTGAAAGCCAGCTCTCCAGACCACTGGCGGTGGATCCCCACAGTGCTCGGTTCTGGTCAGACTGTTCAGTTTTTGGCACAGCTTTTTAGGAAGACTGTCGAGGGTGAGGAGGGTAGTGAGGGGAATTGAAACCGTGTGGTACAAGGATCAGCCGAAAGGAGGATTATAGAAATACGTGAAGTGTGCCAGCTAGCCTCAAGGACCCTCCTGCTCTGTGTCTATGAACACTATAAGGATTTGGAGGGTGGTCGTATACAAGGAGGTTTAGAGTTTTTGTACTTTAAATTCAACAGATATTAATTAGGTGCCTGCTCTGTGCAAGATACAGCTTCTGGGGATACAAAAACAAAGAAAAAAATAAACTTAGTTAAAAACCTAGATGTTTCTTAGATGAGATGATTTCAAAGTACAAGTTACTTTGAAGGAGGGACTCTGAATGATGTTGTTCAGGGGTGAGGGAGAAGGGGAACATGGAACCCAGAGGGTTAGGCAGATACATTGGGTAGAAGTTACAGAGAGCCATCTTCCTAACAGGAGTGTCCAAAGTGTCCACAAGTGAAATAGGCTCAGTGAGTTCTTACCTGAGCAGGAGCCCCTACAACATTTTTCTGATGGGACTTGTGTGCTACCTCTCTTTGCTGTTGGCAGTTTCTGATAATTGAAACTTTTTCTGTTCACCCTCTATGTCTTTGCACTTTCATTATCTTCCCTTGTTTTATTCCTTATGTCTATGTTGCTTACCCTGAGCTTTTTGGCTTGGCCTTTTGTGAACTTTCCTAGCCAGTGGATGGATGGCTCCCTCCCTAGTCTTATGGCCTCTTACGGGTTTGGGGATTTTGGCTGTTTTTGTTAGTGATCACTGCAGAGCTTCTTTCTTTCCTTCTCCATCTTGGATTTGAACACATTCTTTATGTTCAAGGATTATACAAGACTGGGTAACTGAATTATCAGTAAAATTTTCATGAATATTGTCCCATTGATTCATTCTGAGAGATGAGTGTAACAAAGTGAACACACCTGCCTTTGGGGACAAATGAATTATTTAAAATACTATTAGTGATGTTCATGTATGTAATTAAAGCCATATTTCTAACTTCTAAAAAAATTACTAGATATTAAAATCAAGTTTTATTTTCACTTGTGTGTTTAAACTAATTACACATTTATATTTAATAAAAAGGAAAAAAGTTTAAATTTTTTCCTGTGAAAAGTCATTGATCTCTTCTGCGTCCAGCATAACATACTGTTTGCTTGACTTTTACAGGGTATATGCTTGAACCAGATCCAGACCGTAGGCCTGATATTTTCCAAGTGTCCTATTTTGCTTTTAAGTTTGCCAAAAAGGATTGTCCAGTTTCTAACATCAATGTAAGTAGTTTTTAAAAGCTTAAATCTTATCCTGTAGTAATCTTCCCCCCCCCCAGTACTTGTTAAATGTGAAAGCATGACTATTGTTACTCCAGTTAGTCAGCAAGTAAAAGTTTAAGTCAAACACTGTTAAGTCAAAGAAAAAGCACGAACAGTCCTTGCCTTCAAGGATCGCATGGGGCAATGGGGAAATAATATGTAAATAACATCATTGGCATATAGTATGTAGAGAGTAGATGAAAAGTGATCTCTGAGGAAAAGGCACTGGCAGCCAGGGGAATTGAGGATAACCTCTTGTCTTGTGGGAGGTGATTCTTGAAGGAAGACACTCTAGGCATTCAGAGGGTAGTCAGTGCAGAGGCCTGCAAGTTGGTGGAGGGGGGAGTGCTGGGTTTGAGGAGTAGCAAGTCCGGCCAGTGGAGGCACGTTGAGAAATGCATTGTGGGGAGTGTCAGAAGACTGGAAACTTCTGAATAATTCTAAGTGTTATAAGACTCCCTCTTCGGTCGTTGTGGCAATGGGGGCCATTGGAGTTTGCCATTGAGGGTGGGGCTGGGGGGCGTGCCTCAGGTAATGATTGCCTTTATAGTCTAATAGTATCAGGAAATGTTAGAGTTGGAAGGGGGCTTTGAGAGAATTCTGTGCAGAGTGCTCATTTTACCAGGAGGAAACTGAGAGCCTGAGAGGCTGTGACTTGCAGAGGATCATGCAGATTATAAATAGAAGAGTCAGGCTTCGAATCCAGATCCTTAAGACTCTGGAATCTTTATTCTTCTCTGCCTGATGTTTATTCTTTTGAATGAATGTTAACAGAATTTGTGCCATTAGCTTCTCTAGACCTTAAATAGATAACATTTTTAGAGGCTTTTTAGAGAGAAGTTTTATGCTCGCTCTTTCCTGAATTTGCTTTAACTCTGTTCATCATCATTTTCCTTGTAATAGAATTTGGTTTCAGGCATCTTGTGTTCTGTATAAAAACACTTGATTATATCTTGGTGAAAATAAAACACAAACTTCATTATAAGGTATCTTTTGAGTACCCTGCATATTTTCTTACTAATACTCTTTTGTATTATATATGTGTTAATGCTTCTGATGGTCTTTTATGGATGTGATTTTTTTCCTTACCTGGTAGATGATTACAATCTTTGAAAAAAATTTTTTTGCTTCCAAGGCCACACAGCACCTTTATTCAAAATGAACCCCCATGTCCTTATCTGGCATGACTTATTTCCTCAGGTTATATGTGAGACGTAAATTCTAGGGTCTTAGATTCATAACTGGAAGCAGATTTAGAGGCACTCTGGTCCTCTATTCCAAATTGCTGTCTTATAGAAAAGTATCCTGACATCAAGAGAAAGTGTGACTGTGCCCAGCGTCAGTCACCCAGGGAAATGGCAGAGCAGAAATTTAAACCTAGGTTCTTAGGTAGTGGTTCACAGTGCATAGAGCCCTGGCCTCAGCTCAGGAACCTTTAGTTCCAGTCTGACTTCAGACACTTTCTAGGTATGTGACCAGACAAGTCACTTCACTCTGGCCTCACTTTTTCAGCTGTAAAATGGGGATAATAATAGTACCTGCTTCCCAGGGTTGTTGTGAAGATCCAACAGAGGAATGGTTTTAGAGCACAGAGCACTGCATGGAGTGTAGCAGTATCCGTTACTGTCTCTGAGGGAGGAGTTCCAGTCTTGCTTCACTTCATTAGCTGTGTGACCCTGGGCAGATCCACTTAACTGAAGTCTGCCTTCCTCATAGGTAAAGCAGGGATAATGACGGTGCCGGGGTCATTCTGAGGGTCAGATAAGATGACATCTTATTGTTGTTGTTACTCTTGTTGGTGCGCCTTCCGTGTGATAACAGTGATAGCACAGCAGTCGTGGAAGGGAAGGCCTCGTACTGTCTCCTTCGTGCCTTGGCTTGTGTTGGTGCTCCTGCCTTACTCGGGGCTAGCCATCAGGGATGGCTTCTATTCACTTACATTTGACCATGGAGAAATAGATGGGAATGGTTATGTCTGTTTTTTCCAGGGAGTATGTGGGTTAGGCATTTCCTTTTCAGATCTTTGTATAGCTTTTCATTATCTTTTTTCTGTCTCTGTGTTGAAGTGGACATAATATTGTCTATTTATTTTCAGAGAGTGCTCTTCTTCTCAAAGCTCTTTGGAAACAGAGTTCTGGGAGGGTGGGCTACAGGCATGGCTGGACTATATGTTTAAGTAATGTGCAGGTATCCAAAGTTAAAATATTGGTGCTGTAAGGGATGGGGGCTTTAAAAAAATTAAAATATTCTTGTGTGATTTAAAAATAGATAAACTTTATGTAATTAAAGTGAAGATGAAAATAAAATGCTTCTTTTCTTTCCTTCAAGAATTCTTCTCTTCCTTCATCTCTTCCTGAACCTTTGACGGCTAGTGAGGCAGCTGCTAGGAAAAACCAAATAAAAGCCAGGTAAGCAAAGCTAATGATTTTTGCTCCTCATAATATTTGTCCTGATACTTTTTTATTCAGGTGTCATTTGTTAAAATATTTTGTTCTTTAGAGACGAGGGTGGGGTAGTCACTTTAGTCAGCAAGCACAAAATAAACTTTTATGTCGAATTAAATTTTTGACATCAATCCCTTTTGAAATTATCAATCCTTGAAATAAAGAAGTCCTTGTTTGTTATTGGTAGTTGCACAATGAGCCCTTTAAAAGGTCTCCTGATACTTTAATCACATGAGAGAGCCAGCTTGGAACTCAGATTCATTCTTTGTCAATTTTTTAAAGTACATAACTGGTAAACAAACTTTCAGTTAGGTTTTTTTCCCCCTCTTTAAGGGAAGGCAGTGCTTATGAGATATTTTTAAAGGGCAGCAATCTTGTACATAACTAAAAAAACTGTACTGAACCATTAAAAGAGTTATCCTTTAAATGAAATAGGACAAACATGTAAGTCCTATCTTGACCTTATTTGTTAATAATTATTTTCACTTCAAGGATATTGTATAGCTAAGGACATGTATCTGCTAATGACAGTCTTTTCTCTTTGTCTTTTTTGGCCTTTGGTTAATAATGTCCATCCTTTAGATAGCCTAGAAAAGTATAAAATGTTCATTGAGATTTTTTGGGAATGTTATCTTTGTAGAATAGTATATTAAAAAAATTGAAACTATGCTGTTTGGCACAGGATTGTATTGGTGTGATGTTTTTTCCCCATCTCTTTTCAGTTTATTTTAATAGATATTTATTTCTAAGATGTGTTGGGTGCTGTGGAAGATGGAAAATGTTATTATAAGCCCTTGAAGGGCAAAGATTGTCCAGTAAGGGGATAAGATGTACTCGACCAGATGTAATATAAGTTAGAGTGTGATAAGTGAACAGAGGGAGCTCAACACAGAGCATTGAAAGATCTCTTCTGCATAGAAGAATCAGAGAAGACTTTTTGAAGGAGGTAGCACTTGATGTAGTTAAGCTGGGCAGGGAGATGGATGGAGCCTCTTCCAGATGAAAATAGCAGGTTGTGGGAATACATGGGATATTGGAGAACAGGATGAGATTGGGGAGTTTGGATGAAATGCCAAGGGAAGAATATACTTCATATTCTTTAAAGAGAAATAGAGCCAAATGGGAGGATCTGATTGCCAGGATAAGGAGCTTATATTTTACCCAGTGGGCAGTGAGGATCCCCTGAAAGTCTGTGAGCAAAGGAAGGACCATAATCATTATGATTAATAATAGGTCATATTCGTGTTCTTTAAGGTTCACAAAAGCACTTCCCTCAAAACAATTTTCTGAGGATTAGGTAGTATATATTGTAGGTAGTATCCTTGTTTTCATAGGTAGGAGAAATTGAAGTTCAAGCCAGAGCAACTGGAAGAGGGTAGTGCCCTTAACAGATAATGAAGAATAGGGGCTTGGGGAATAAGATGAATTCCATTGAAATTTTGGAGAAGGGAAGAGAGGAAATGCTTAACAGGCATTTAGAAATTGGGGGTTTTAATTCAGGGGAGAGGTTATAGTGGAATGGGAATAAAAGGCGATTAGGGAATTATTTACATAATTTAATAAAACAAATCAAGATGATAATTAAAAGCATTGGCTTGGATGACATCACTAAGGAAGAGAATGCAAAGAAAATGCATTTAGGGAAATCCATTCTTGGGAGACAGACTCTTTTTTTTCCCTTCCTCTTCCCACGCTGAGGCACAGTGCCCCAGTATGGCTCTGAAAAAGGCATTTTCTTTTTCTTTTTTAAAATATAAATTAATATTGAATACATAGCCATATATAAACTGGAGTAGAAAAAGAAAGTAGCCAGATGGTGCAGTGGAGAGATTGCTGGGTCTGGAGTCTGGAAGATTCATCTTAAGTTCAAATCTGGCCTCAGATGCTTCTAGCTTGTGTTACCCTGGGCAAATCACTTAACTCTGTTACCCTCGGTTTCCTCATCTGTAAAAATGAACTAGACAAGGAAATGGAAAACCACTCCAGCATCTTTGGCACGAAAACCCCAGATGGGGCCATGAAAGAGTTGGATACAACTGAAATGACTCACCAACAGCAACAGAAAGAGGATTGTTGGGAACCCTGACCCTCTATTACATCTGGCTGACCTTTGAACTTCCTCTGCTTTCTTCTGGACATTTAAAAATGCTTCCGTGATTCTCTTTTATCTCCTCTCCTCTAATGCTCCCTTTCTCCTCCTCCTTTCTTTTCATCATTTACCAGCCCTAATCTCTCTCCTGACCTCAAGCCCAGCATCTCCAGTTGCCTATTGGATATCTTGCTTGTTGGATGTTCCAGACATTTTACATTCGTCATGTCCAGAACTGAGCTGATTTTCTTTTTCCTCAAACCCTCTGCAGTTCCAAACTTCCCTCTTACTCTTCAGAGCACCCACCATCTTCCTAATCACCTGGGCTCTCAACCCATCTGTCATTCTCAGTTACTCCACAGTCTTCCCACCATCTATCCAGTCTGTGGCCAAACTCCTTTCCAACATCTCCTGTCTTAGTCTCTTTCTCTCCTCTGCTGCCACTGCCCCTCCTAATACAGGCCCTCATCACCTCATCGCACCTGGACTATTACAATGAGCTTCTCCATCTGCTCGGTCTCTCTGGCTCCGGTCAGCCCCCACTCAGCTGTCAGTGATTTTCCTGAAGCACAAATCTGACTGTATCGCTCTCCTATTGAGTAAACTATAGTGGCTTCCTGTTACTTCAGCATCAAATGGAAAAATTCTCTACTTGGCTTTTAAAGCCTTTCTCAATCTGACCTCTTCTTTACCTTTAAGCTTTAAAAAGCCCTTGCCTTTCTTCTTACATTTTATTCACCTTCATGTACTCTACAATCCAGTTATGCCAACTTTTTGGCTTTTCCTAGCACAGGGTGGTTCGTCCCTTGACTCACCGAATTTTCACTGGCTGTCCCCCATGCCTGGAATGCTTTTCCTCTTAACTTCCCTGGCTTCCTGCAAGACCTAGCTCAAATCCCCCTTAATGCTAGTACTTTGTCTGTGAAATTACTGAGAGTGTGCCCTGTATATATCTTGTATGTAGATAGTTGATTGCATATTGTCTGCTTTATTAGAATATGAGGTCCTTGAGGTCAGGGACTGTTTTTGCTCTTTTTTTTTTTTGGTTTCCCTAATGCTTAACATATACATAGTAAGCACTTAACAAATGTTTACTGACTTGTTGACTTATAGCATTGCATTTATATACTATAATTTTTCAGCCGTTCTACAGTTTAGTTCTTTGCTATAGAAAAAGAGGTGATATAAATAATTGTACACATATGGTTTTCTTTCCCCAAAAGCATTTTTCAGTTCATAATTGAAAATTTTGAATTATCTCTGAATAATAGATCCAGAGCTGGACTATCTTTAATCTAGTTTAGCCCTTTTAGAAGCCACTGAGACCCACAGTGTCATTGGATTGCCCAAAAGTCATTTGCGCAAAGTCTGTTCATTCACACTGAATATGTCTTTGAGTTCCTACTCGGTGTGGGCCCCAAGCCCTAATCCAGTGATTTGTCAATGTGTGGAGGTGATACTGAGTTCCTGGCACCTCTGCTAGGTAAGCATAAGCTCTGGCAGGTTCTGCCATGCTGGAAAGACTTGGAGAATAGTCCTGGTAGTCCTCTAGCTATCTACTTTCTGAGAAACAGCCCAGCTAAGCTCAGAGAACTGCAGTGCCAGTTGTCCAGCCTTTGGGTAACAAATTCTTTGGCCGTGGCAGTTCTTTGAATGAAGAAACATGCAAAATGTTTTCCAGTCCCCTGTGTGTCCCCTTTCAATTCTGAAGCAGTGGTGGAAAAGGGATATGAAGTTGTTCATAAAGAGGGCCAGATGGTTCTTAACCTTTTTGGTGTCATGGACTCTTTTAGTCTGATGAAGCCTATGAATCTCTTCTCAAAATAATGTTTTTCAATGCATAAAATAAACTGCATAGGATTACAAAGGAAAGCACTTAGGTTTGAGCTAGTTATCAAAATATTTATTTTTTAAAAATCCCCCAAAAGCAAGTTCATGAATCCAAAAGAATGCCTGATCAAAATCATTGAGTAGACGCACTACTAGAGGCAGTGTGACATAGTTGATTGAGAGTTGTGTGTGAATTTGGGAATACTTGAGTTTGAAACCCATCTCCCACACTTACTGGCAATTTGACCATTGACAATTTACCTAAACTGAGTCACAGCTTCTTTTTCTGTGAAATGTGGAGATAATGGGGAAAGTTGGAAAATCAATAAAAGGACAAACATTGACACAAATTTTACTATTTGTTAAAGGTGTTTAACAAATAGAACCAGTTGCCAGGAGTAGATTGGGATGGGTTCTCCTCACAAACCCTTGCTTTCCTTACCACTCAGAGAAATTGGCAGCCAAGGTCAACACTGGTTTTTAAATATAATAAACTCATTTGGAAAATCTTGCCCCGACAGATAGTGATGGTAATAGCTTTCATTTATGTAGAATTGTAAGGTTGGTGTCGTGCTTTACATATGCCATCTCATTGGATTCCCCTAACCGCCCTGTGAGGTGAGTGCGGTTACTTTCTCCATAGAGAAGATGAGGAACATGAGGATGTGAAGGGTGAAGGGACGTGCCCATAGTTAGTCAGTATTTCTTATGTGCCAAGAATTGGGCTAAGCTCCGGGCAAACGAAGGAAAGAACTGAGCTCACGAAGGAAGTTCAGGGCAGAAATTGTAGAGATTCATTGTCTGGGCGCCTTCCTTTCCCGAGCATTTCCTTGACAGTCTCTAGGTTTTGTCCATTAACGCTTCTGGATGTTTCTTGTGTTCTTGCGTCCTTTCTTTGCATTGCTCCTCTAGTTAAGTTAGACTCGCGTGAACTATCTAGTTTCCTTCATTCTGGTTTCTCCCTCCTCCATTCGGGTGAATCTTGCTAAAATTCTGCTTTCATCGTGTTACATGACTGCTCAGGAACTTCTAGGGGCCAACAGGATACATTTCGAACTCCTTGAGCTCTTTTCTAGGCCCTGGCACAACCTGGCAGTCCCAGTGTCTGAGTTTGGAGACGTATTCAAATTCAGCTCTTGCACTAACTAGCTGGGGGTTGTGCCATGATCCCCTTCGCTTCTCTGGGCTTCCTTTACCTTTTCTGTAGTTTTAGGACCCTAATATCTGCCCTGTACCTCAGGGATATTCTTAGAAGCTCTTAAACACAAAGGAAGTGCTTTGAAAGGGCACAAGAATTTGAAATAATTTAAATTTTTTAATTTAAATAATTTAGGTATTTAAATTTTAGCTGCTGTTAATATTATGTTTCAGGTGTATCTCTCTATTCTTCCTCTGCATAAAACCTGTATTCTAGCTTAACTGATATGCTTCTCCTTTCGTCCTTCACCTGTTATATTCTTCTATTTTCCATCAAAATCATACCAGTCTTTTTAAGGCCCAGCTCAAATCTACCTCCCCTGTGAAGATTTTCCAAAGCAAGCCAGGTGAAGAAATATTTTCTTCCTTTAAAGCTTTCTAGTATGCACTGTCTGTATTTCTTTTGCTACCTGTTTCGTGATTTATTTTGGCATGTGCCTATGTCCTTTGTACCCACTGAGTTTGTAAACTCATGAAGCATTGGGATTGATGCTGCCTTATAGCCATGGCACCTAGCACAGTCCTGTAGGACTGTGTGGATATGTGATTATTATTAATGCTTAAACAAAACTAAACGTCAATATGCATAAGCTTCTTGATGTGAAAAGATTGGGTTGCAATAATTTTGGAAACAAATCATGTATAAAGCTAGAATTATAAACATTTGTTTTGTATCTGCAAAAAAATTATAAGATTTTGTGATTTTTATCTTATGCAAGAGAACATTGTAATAGAGCTCCCTCTTGTGGTGTCTGTGGAGATTAAGGAAAGATTGAGAGATTGTCAGATATTTTGCTTTAGGCTGTAGGTAATAGTTGTTTCTGAAAAGTACAATGTAATTTGAATTTAGGAAATCAAATCATATTTTACATGCAGCTCAATAAAAGAATCTTTTGGTGAATCTTTTAATGTGTATTTTCTGTAAATCAAGGTTTGTTTAAATAAAGCCAGGCATACATGCTGCGTAAGACCTTGATTTTTTAAAAAAGAGGGCTATTAAAATGAAAAAACAAATATGTTTACATTCAAAAGCTTCTATCCTGTCTTATGCCATGTGCCTTACCATGTATTATTCCAACCACTCTGCAGTCCACTTCAGGAGCCTGAAAATAACAAAGCATGAAGGATAGTACTAAGGGGGTCTGTCAGAAGTCACACCGGTAATTTCTGTAAACTTTCTCATGTTGTTATGAGGAAGATCTAAAGCTAGAAGTAGAAATGCCTGTGTGGTTCAGTCTGAGGCAGTGTTGATATCTTCTGTTTCAGTCAGTCCAGGGCTAGGTCTTAACTCGCTGTTTAACTATTTGTCCCTCTAAGCTGTGGTCTTCAGGGCTGATTTCAGTACTGAGATTATGACCAACTCAGGATATACTCTCAGGTTTAGGTAACTAAAAAAGATAAAGATGAAAAGAGAGACAGAGTAGTAGTAATTGAGGGGATTGGGAAAGGATTAACATTACATTGGCACCTGCGCCTTGAAGGGAATTACCAATTTTGAGAGGCAAAGGTGGAAAGGGAGTATGTGTTCCATGCGCTGAGCACAGCCTGTGCAAAAGCCACCAAGGTAGGTGATGGGCCGTGGAGGTCACAGGACAGCCAGAAAGGCCAAGTTGTTTAGGAATAAAGAATGCATTAAGGGGAGCCATATGCAGTAATTCTGGAAAGGTACATGGAAGCCGCATCGTTGAGGTCTTTAAATGCCAGGCGGAAAAGTTTGTATTTTGATTCTGGAGACATTGAACACCATTAAGATTTTTGAACAGAGCAATTAAATGGTCAGACCTGTGTCTTTGGGATGCCAATTTTGCAGTAGCCGGGCGCGGAGACTGGAAGCTATCAAAATAGTCCATGTGAGAAGTGATAGGGACCTGAACCATGCCACAGATGGTGGTGTCTGTGGTTGGAGAGGGATGGAAAGCTGGCCATGGAAGTCCTACTGAAAAGAATTGACAGATTGATTTGACATTGGAGGCAAGAGTCAAGGATGAAGCCAGAGTTGTAGAGCTGGTGGCTAGAAGGAGCATAGATCCAAATGAAATGAGTGCGTCTTCCCCCTGTTGCTTCCTTGCCTAAAGTCATGCAGAGAGTGAGTACCAGAGCTGGGATTTGAATGCACGTCTGATTAGAACACATTTAATTCTCTTTCTACTGAGCTCTATGCCTCCCAGGAGTGGCTGACTTTTTCATTCTGCTGCTTTGAGTGATTTGAACTCTACCCATTGCCTACAGAGTTCTCTAGAAATGTTCTGATGAACTAAGAATTCCACAAAAAGTTACTGTTGAACAGAGATATTTATTAGATCATTCATTCTGGCTAGCTGCTGAAAAGATTTGTTCAAAAATATGTGTACTCTTGGGAATTTTCAGAACTCTACTGTCCATTTCAACAAGCATGGTAAAGTACATGTGGATCTTTACGTCCTATACATTCGGAGAAATTCTTTAGGGAATGGTTTCCTGTTTTCTCAATCTAAGCTTAGCTAATGTTTGCCCTTAAGCTGTACTTATCCAGTTGCTTCTCATTGATCTGGGGGTCAGGATACTAGCTGAAGCCCCAGTTCTGCAACTCAGTAGCCTTGTGACTGGATAATAGCTATTCTCTGTGCTTCATGTTTCTCTTTTGTAAAGTGGGGATAATATTTGCACACTCAGCAGAAAAAGGAAAATTTGGAGCATAATAGGGTTTAGAGAGGAAGATGATCTTTTTATTGGGTTTACCAAGTTTGAGTTGCTGACAGCATATCAAGGCAGGGATGGCCCTCAGACAGCTGGTGGTACAAATCTGGAGTTCAGGAGAAAAATTAGCACTGGGTGGATCTCTTGAGACATGTGTGTCTTGAAATAGTAATTGATTGAGAGGGTATCTTGTTGCATCAGCCAGGCTGGTTGATGTGAACACCTTTCATTGCTATCCCTAAGCGGTGGGTTGAAGTGGAATAAATGAATAGACGAATGAAAATCCATTTTTTAAAAGCCCATGCTGTTCGCCAAGTGCCGCATTGAGTGCCAGAGATACAAATAGAAAAAGCATGACTGTCCTTGCCCTCAAGGAACTCACTCTAATTCCAAGAAACAACAAATAAAAGAAAATTGAGGTATAGGGTGGGTAAAAATGCCCCGGAACCAAACGGCAGGGCAGATGGCAAGTGCCAGGATAACTTACTATGGTTTATTAGTAAGTCAGGCAACAGTATCAGGGATCTGCCAGGGGGGATGGTAATGCCTAGTCTAGTGTTCTGCCATCCCACCAGGAGTGGAGCTGGTGGCTCCCTTCTCTCTAAGATGTTGAAAGGTTTGGGGCTGCCTGGCTTGGGGAGAAAGGGCTAAAAGAAGCAGACAAGAGAGAAGGACATCTCTCGTGGTGGTGGCGGGGTCCTCTTCAGGAGGACAGGATAGAGGGAAGAAAGTCTGCCCTTTTGGCTTCCTCTTTTACCTATGGTCGTGACAGTTGGTCTAAAGAATGCAGATAACTTTAGTTTCCTTTTCTTTATTTTATATTCCTACTGATTGAAACCCTGAAACAAGTGATCCTCCAGTTAGGTGATCTTTGTGGTTGTCATCTGTGTCATTAGTGGAGAAATGTGTGAATAAGTAATGATTTCAGTAATATTCAGACACATTGTAATGTGTGAAATTAAATTTATCCTTCTCTTTTAGAATAACAGATACCATTGGACCAACAGAAACCTCAATTGCCCCGAGACAGAGACCAAAGGCTAATTCGAGCACTGCCGCTCCCAGCGTGCTGGCAATTCAGAGCGCAGCTACACCGGTGAAAGTACCTGCTCCTGGCGAAATTGGTAACCATAGGCTGAAAGGTATGTGGCTTTCCCCATGAGGTTGAACAAGCAACTTTACACCTACTTTAGTTAGGCTTCCGTAGAGATGGGTTATCAGATTTCATATTTTAAGCCAGATGTGAAGGCTTTTTTAAAAAATGGGTCCATTTAACCAATGTTAGCATAGTGACAAGGTCCAGAAATGGAGCTACCTGGCCTGAGGACCGGCTCCTTTCGCATCTCTGCCTTGGCCCCAGAGACATGGCAGAAGAGATCCCCTAGTGCCACAGGAATCATATTGGTTTCTGAGTGTTTTCAGTACTAAATTATTCCTTTTTAAAAGAACTTACCACACTTGTTCATAATCTATATGTTATTCCATTGCCAAAGTGGGTAGTGAATATTGTTTTATAGTCACTTCTGCTAAATAGCATAATGTAACTTATTTTTATTCTTACTAATTTAAGATATTAGCTCTAGTGCTACAGAATGACCTGAGAGTTAGGCTGTCACTGAAGTATCATTTTCCTCATTTGGTACAAATGGCGCCAAACGAGCATTAGCATCTTTCATATTTCCCTTGGCTGTGTTGCTACTCTGTCACCATCCCTTACTTCCTTCCCTGTGCTTCTGTAGCTGATGGAGGAAAGTGGTAAAGATATGAAAAAGGTGATATAGGTGTATATATCATACGGTAGCTACAGCTACTTTACTAAACGTATTTACTGGCATTTTGTAACTGAAATAACTTGTTGCCTTTTCAGAAACTATTTCTTACGCAGTTATTTGCTCCCATTAAAACTATTAAGTTATCATTATATGTACATTAATATTTTTATCTTTCAGGGAAGTAGGTAAAGGACAGCAGTTTAGAGGATCATGATTATTCTGTACCTAATAAGAGGAGATTTTAAAATATTATGTCCTTTGGGAGTCAGTTTTAAGTACTCCAGTAGCTTTATATTTATGAATTTTAAAGCCTGTCTTCCAAAGAGGGTAACTATGAGGCAGTAAAGTAGCAATCATCAGCTAGCTTTTTGTTTATTTGAAACTATACTTGAGTTTCTGTTTAGAAATATTTTTCTTAAATTAATCTCGAGTATGAATTAGTATTTTTTAGCGTAGTATTCTTTTGTTTTTTATAAACAGAAATTCCTGTTCTTTAATCTAATTTTTATTCTGTTACCAAGGCTACATAATGAATTTCACAACAAGCCTTTTAAAAAATACTTTTGGAGTTGGATTTTCTCTGTTTTTCTTTTTGTCTAAGAAAATGTTCCCTCCAACTTATTTTTAAAAAGGCCTTCAGAAAATATGTATTTGCTCTAGAATCTTTGCCATGTAAAATGTGTAAGTTTATATTTTAGAAATATGTTTTAGAAATGATGAGTTGGGGTTTGGGATGTTAGTCTTTGCCTTTGTCACTGAACCATAACAAGGACTATAGGAGAGTAAGATTGGGTCAGGAGGTCTGGAAACATCCTAAGCTCTGCCAGTAGCAGAGGCTATGTTCTTGAACAACCTCAGTGAGACTCTATCTTAGAAGACGCCGGGACCAAGGTTGCCAGCGTGTGTAAGGCTTTTCTTCTCTCCTCCCCTCTTCTTTTTTTCTTCCTTTCCTTTCCTGTCCTTTCCTTCATTGTTTGTTAGCTGGGGTTTGAGAAAATCCTCAAAAGACGCTTTTGTGACCCAAGCATTTGAGACTTCCTTATCTCCAGCCACCAAGAGGTTCTAACTAGGCATGTAGTTTGACATTGTGCAAGTGTGAAAATTGTTTTGAATACTTACTCAAGAAAACAGCGAGTTTGAAGACTTAGCAGAGTTGGTCTTATTTGTTGTGGAAGAAGTCACTAGCAGCAGCCACAATAAATGGGTGTGTACGGGAAGATAGGACAAGGACGAGAATTCCATCGAAGGAGGTGTGGAGGCAAGATTTAGGGAGGGTCTATGTACATTTGAAACAAGTTGACAAACGCCTTTGGAAATATATTTTAGGAACGTTGAAACTTGGAAACAGTCAAGAGATGGTGTTGACTCAGGGTCAGCAGCCTCCCCAGCAACATAGAGTACTCCAACAGTTACAGCAGGGTGATTGGAGATTGCAGCAGCTTCATCATGTACACCACCCTTACCATTACCAGCAGCAGCAGTTATTTCAGGATGCGTATGTGCAGCAGGTAATAGACTTCTTGTTGTAGGATTTTCACTTGTATTGTCAAATTGATTTATTTTGTTCAGAATAGTAGATGCCTGTCTAGTTGTTGGTCAGTATTTTGTACATTTAGTACCCAGGGGAGTTATTTTAAAAAGCAATCTGCATTTGATTTGCATTTCTTTGTATTTATTTTTAAAACTTCTGCTATCAGAACAGTGATGTTAGAACCTGCCTTTCTGGAGTGAGAGCCACATTAAACATTTCTCATACTCATAAGTCCTCTGGTTTTTATAAAAAAACCCTACTTCATCTTGTCGTAAGTAGAAATGTATCTTAGCAAACAGAAGATGTGCTTTCTTTGGAGAGAAGATTAACGTGGTACGTGCATGGAAGCACCTTCTCATCCTCTGCTTTATTTAGCAGAACACTCAACTTCCTAGTGAAAATAACATAGTATTTTGGTGGGGTTGTAATAATTCCTATCCAGAGCATCTGAGAGCTGATTGCATCTGTGAGGCTTTATGTATTAGTAAATCTTTTTCAAACTTCCACACCCTGCCCCCCAAAAAGTCTGACTTGTGCCCATATGAACTGGAAATGGGAAGAATAGCAAATGGCCCAGGGCACAGGCAGAACATGGTGTTGGGGGGTGCAGAAGGAAATGGGATGGTGCTAGGGCAGATGACTTTTCTCTGGTCATTTTACATTTGTGTGGGGGGGGGAAAGGAGGGAGGGATTTTTGATGGCTTCCTTTGGTTCAAAGCCTGACTCAGGTCAGTCTAGTGGTTCCAGATTGGAACAAAATGAGACATGTGTTGAACAGCTAACCTTCCCCCCCCCCCCAAAAAAAAAGGAAGTTTACTTAATAGAATAGAAAATATTCCAAAAAGTCAATGATTTGAGCTTTATTCCCCAAACTCTTTAAATCTCTAGGATGGTTTCATTGCATTACAAGGAAAATCTCACTTAGCCTGCATGAAAGGGTCATGACTAGATGTTGCTTTTATCATGTGCCTGGTGGCAAAGTCTGTAGTGCCTCTCCCCAGTTTAGGGCTGATAGAGGACAATCCTGACCTCAGAGATAAGAGAAACCTATTACACGCAGCATTGGAGGAAGAACATAGGAAGGCTAATTCAGAAAAAAAAAGAAAAACATCCAGTGGTGTAATATCCCCCTGAAGAGATAGCTGAGGAGAATGAGGGCAAGGAATCCCAGGCTATTTCTCTCCTCTTCAGAAGAACTGAACTCAGCTCCTAACAATCTGGTCCATGTTGGGTATGAGGGCTGGGAAGAGAGGGAGTTGGTGGGTAAGGGCAGTTCACAGTGAAAGCAGTGATGACAGTCAGGAACAGTGCCAGGAAGGGACCTTGGCACAGATGATGCCATTTCCAGTCCAGCCCTATTCCTTATCATAGTCCAAAGTCATAATGTAGTTAACATCTTAAATGCTCCTGCTTTAGGGGCTTGAGTTGATACCAAGGCTCTCCTTATAATCCACTACCCATTCAGTATTCCCTGGCCCAGCAGCCAGAATTTCCCTCTCCTTTGACCCCTACTAGGGGGTTGGTGGTGATATCAAGTCTTTTCCCCTTTAGAAGCTTCTGCTAGGGGATCTCTTCTGTGGGGACTAGGTAAAGATTCTCCCTCACTTTTATTCAGACTTAGGATTGTTATCAAGTAATGAAGGAATTCTCTTCCTACAAGGTAAAATATAATCCCTAATAGTGCTACAGAGATAGTTTCCCCTTCCATATGTCTTTGGAAAGCAAGGTGTGTTTCCCTCCCACACACTCAGATATCCCAAGAAGAAGAAGAATCCAAGGGGAAACCTTGCTGGTTTAGGAAGATCTGAACTGTATTAGGACCTGGACGCCCAGGCAACTTTTTGTAGGACAAGGAAGTTTTTAGGCCTTTATTTTTTTTTTTTAACCTTCTTTTAGATTCTGGATGTCTTAGACCATAGGACCCCTGAAGTTGATTTATCTTTGGTGCATAATTTCTGTTCTGGACAGGTTTGAGAGGTCATGAGGATTGGAGAAAATGTCTAGTCTGCTCCTGTGACTTGGACGTCCCTCCAGTAGCCTTAATCTTTATGTGTTCCCTCTAAGAATACCCTCAGTATGTCCTGGATGTCTCCTTTGTACATGGTTGTTTGCACGCTATCTCCCCCATTGGGCTGTGAGCTCCATGAGAGCAGGGGCTGTTTGGTTTTTTTGCCTTTCTTTGTCTCCCCCCCGCACTTGGCGTGTAGTGGGCACTTGTTTTTTGCCTGATACAGACTCGCTATCCCAAGTGCCAGGTGCTTCAGCCCTGAACCGTGCCTGGGATCCAGAGCCCTCCACGCACAGGGCAGAGGGGAATCACTTGTATTTCTTTTAGTGCTTGCTCTCCTCAGCAGACCAGCTGGGGAACGTTTGGCACATCTGTCCACGTCTTCGATTCGGGGGAGTTCCCCAAGTTCCTGAGGAAGTTCAGATGTTGCTGGTGCTTTGTACTCATGGGTCTCAACAGAGTCCCATAGTCTGGAAGAGGGAAGGCATTCGTCTTGTCTGGCCAGTACAAGGCAGGTCCAGCTGACACTTAAACTCCTTCACGGGAGAAGCATACCACCTGTTGAGACCACCTGTTCTGTGCTGGGCAGCTCTAACCGTGAGGAAGTATTTTCTGTCTTCCAGCCTAAATTTGCCCATTTGAAACTTCCCCCCTTTGCTCCTGGTTCTGGCCTCTGGGACCAAATGTAATAATTCCAATCTCCACTCCACATGAAACTTCTCTGCACATGTCTGTCCCCTGTGACGTGGGTGCAAGGCCATCCACTGTCCTTCTTGCTCTCCTCGCTCTCTAGCTTGTCAATGTCTGTCTCACACCATGGCTCCTACAGCTGGACACAGCACTCCAGATATGGTCTGATAAAGATAGAGAATGGAGAGACTGTCACTTGTGTGCTCCCACAACCCAAGATTGCACGGCTAGCATATCCTACTACTGACACATGTTGAGCTTATGGTCCTTCCATTACTATCCCCAGATCCATGTCAGACCTCTTCTCTGTCCAAGCCTCCTCCATTGTGTACTTGGGAAATTGCTTTTTTTTTTTTTGTACCGAACTGCAGAACTTCACCTTTATGCCTAGTGAAATTCATCTTCTTCAGTGTAGCCTGTTGTTCTAACCTGTCAGTGTCCTTTTGGATCCCACCCCCATCTCTCGTGTAAACTGCCATTCACAACTTTGTGTCGTCTTCATATTTGATGGACAGAGCATCTATTTCTCTATCCAGCTCATTGTTAAAAGTGCTCAGCAGGACAGTTTCCTCATCTAAGGAAATAACAATAGCTCCCACATTACCGGGTCATCGAAGGCCAACTGAGAACATATGTAATGTGCTCTGCAGTCTTTCAAGCTCTACGTAAATGCTCGCTCTTACCACTTTGTTTCTGTATTCTCAGCTCTCAGTCCAGTGCCTGGCAAGGTGCTTAATGTTTGTTGATGGATTGATTTGGGAATGTTGAGTAGCTGCCTGTTTTTGCTTATGTTTTCACCCTGGTGTCAGCAGGCAGTGCAGCAGCAGCAGATAGTCCAGCAACAGTTTTTAATGCATTCGATGTATCAGCCGCAATCTTCAGCATCCCAGTACCCTGCAGTGGTGAGTGAGTGTTGTGTGCTTTCTAGAAATTCTTTTTAAACATGATAGATTGTAATTATGTATGCTTTTTGAAAGGTATAAATCAAGATCTTAGAATTCACCATAGTTTTTTTTAGTATCTTCCAACTTTTTTTTTCCTTAATGGTATTTTTTCCAATTATAGGTAAAGATAGTTTTCAGCATTCATTTTTGTAAAATTTTGAGTTCTACATTTTTCTTTCCCTCCTTTCTTCCCTCCCCAAGATAGCAAGTGATCTGATATAGGTTACACATGTACAATCATGTTACACAGATGTCCACATTAGTTATGTTGTGAAAGAAGAATCAGAACAAAAGGGAAATGCCATGAGAAAGAAAAACCAAAAAACAAGAAAAAAGTGAAAACAATCTGCTTTGCTCTGCGTTCAGACTCTGTATTTCTTTCTCTGGATGTTCACCCTAGTTTTTTATAACAAATTCAGGATAGTTATTTGGCAAGGATGCTTTTCCCAAAACAAAGACAGTTAAAAAAAGGCATTTCCTTAAATGTGATTTAATTATCTGAACTTGACACATGAATTTGAATATGAGGTAACCAGTAAGCCATGTGTAATTGCACTTTTCTTACGGCAGAGGACCACACTTATAGCATCTTTGATGTTGGCATGCTGTTTTGATGAACTCCTGCAATCTTTAGGAACAAAGACAAAGAAAAGTGTCTTTGTTTCAGAGCACAATTTGATATTTTACAACTCCTACATGAGATGGGCATTCCCTTTTTGTTACTGTTTGGCTCAGTTGTGTTGAGTGGCCCAAGCATTCCGTTGACGGCACAACCTTCACCAAATACAGCTTCTTAGGGTCCTGATCTCCTGGGTTAGTTAGGGTGGTCACAAGTCAATGGCCTGAGTGCTGGTGTGTTTGTGACGGCACGTCCTTCTTTCAGATGCAACAGTATCAGCAGACTTTGTTCCAGCAGCAGATGCTTGCGCAGCAGCAGCAGCAGCAGCAGCCTTCCCCAGAGTATCTCCCCTCTCCTCAAGAGTTCTCCTCAGCCTTAGCTTCCTGCCCTTCGTCTCTTCCTTCCCAGGTTGGAGCCATAATAGACTCTTCTTACAGTGCCAATAGGCAAGTATTTTCCTAATAGTAAGTTTATTTGGAGGTAACCTTACAACATTGCTCCTACTGAGTGATACAAGGCAGTTTCTGAAACGTGCTTGTCTCCTAGGACATTTCCCTTTCCCTTTCTGCCTTTCTTAAGTCTGCTACGAGTGGCCCTTGTAAACAGGGCTTAACTGTCCCTGCCACCAGCTTGGCATTCAAGACTTACCAAAGTGACTCTTGTACAATGCAGACCACCGAATTCCAAAAAGAAAATAGAACACCAGCAAAAAGCTACCACCTTAAGAAAAAAAACCGCAACAGCAAAACTTACACTAGTTAAAAGCATGCTTGTTTTCCATCCTGAATTATAGGTTATCTGTTTAATTCCACCTTGTTTATTCCTTAACCTAATTTTTCAAGGTACATTTGTTTTGAATTCTTACCTTAGTGTTGTTGTTTATGTTTACCCATGCTGATTTGGTATTGGGTATTAAACTTACGTAGGCTTTTGCTGCTGTCATCCAATTCTTTGCTCTTAAGCTTTTCTCAAAAGTTGCTGTCTCCAGACCTTATTTGCACACGAGCATATGTTTATTCACATGTTTTCCACTGTTGAAAAAAATCCATACGATTGTTGTTGGTGCCTAGAAATTTTAGGTTAATGGCTAGGGGGAGGAAAGGCTGGTATAGTGCATTGCTATCAATTCAGTTTAGCAAACAGTTACTGTAAGCCTCCTGTGCACAAAGCCGTCCCTTTTGTCCTGTGGAGGTCGTGGGGGTACAGTGACACAGAAAAGCTGCCCTTACCCTTGCCCTCAAGGAGTTTCCATTCTGTGGCGGAGGTAGACTATAGGAAGATGGCACACGAAGTGGCTGGAGGAATGAGAGGGGGCTGCTGGCTCACTGAGGTCCCGGAATCTGGCTCTGAATCCTGCCCACTGTGTTTACCAGCAGGGCGTCAGTGCTTATGGCCATGTGACTCTCACTCATACTCCCAGAAAGATCAGTGAGCTCAGCTGAATTGGTCAGTCAATAGGAAGTGCAAACTGAGAGTAAAGTGGTCCTTGGGTCAGTTTGAGGCGATCAAGACAGGTGATACTGCACAGAAACATCTTATCATTGCCTGAAATAATTAGCCACATCTCTGGACCTTGATGTACAACACTGAATCCAGTCCAGAACTTAGTGACGGGAGAGTTCTAGCTAAGCCCTGGAGGGAGAAGCGCTCCCCCTGTCTTCCCTCTTCCATCTCCCCTCTCCCCTTTCCTGCCTCTCCCCCCATCCCCTTTCCTTCTCCTTTTGTTCCCCACCCCTCTCACAAAGAGCTTGGTATAGAAATGTAGGTTTTTCTTTATAAACGTTACCTCATTTTATCTTTATGACAGCCCTGGGAGATAGGTACTGTTATTATCTCCATTTATGAGGAAACTGAACCAGGTAGAGGTTGAGTGACTTGTCCAGGGTCACGGAGCTGGTGAATGTCTACAGTAGGATTTGAACTCGGGTCTTCTTAACTCCAGGTCCAGTGCTGTATCCACTGAACCACTTACCTGACATAATTATGATTGAAGAGCCCAATGTGCTCGTATTTATGTCAGTTATTTCTGTTAATATGTACTACCAGTAGTAGTATGAAAATAGTTTTGACTGCGCAGGCACTTTGAGGACCTGGTATAGAGTCATATTGTTAGCAGTCCTTTTGACTTTGTACACATGTATAACTAAGGATTCTTGCATGTAGGGCAAAATTGTTTCAGGGTTGAGGGAGGAAGCAGAGACCCCCAGCCTTTGATCCTGGACAGCCCCCCTAGTATGAGTCTCCCAGGCCAGGTCTCATCTGCAGTCTGGCCCAGCTGGACCCAGGGAGAAAGAGTGGCAGCAATGGGGCCTTCCCAGGGCTGGGTCAAAGGGGCAGGCCCGGAAGAGCACGTCCTCCACCTCCCTAGCGCACTGACATCTGAGGAGGAGGGAGATATCTTCCCTCTGAAATGGACACTCGGGTCCTCCCTGTGGCCCCACACTGTTCAGCCTAAATTCTGGAGGGGGCTGGGCATTCTCCACTCCCCCACCATGTATTTGTGCCCTGAGGGAAAGCTGTAGTGGTCCTGTGTCACACTGGCTCTGGCGATGGGCTGCCAATTTAAGATTGAAGACCGTTTTAAACTTTAGCATTTAAGTGATAGGAGGATGCATATTGCGGCTTTTAATTTTGCCTTCCTCTTGCCTGATTGACTCTGTAGGTCAGTTCCTGATGCAGAAGCAGCTGCTACTTTCCCAAATCAAAACCTCAATAACCCCCCTGACATGTCGGGCTGGAATCCGTTTGGAGAGGACAATTTCTCTAAGCTAACGGAGGAGGAGCTCTTGGACAGAGAGTTTGACCTTCTGAGATCAAGTAAGGGATGCTTGAAGGCTTATTTGGCTTCTCAGTAAAGGAGCCTCTGGTTGGGCCCCGTGGCTGGGCGTGTGGGCAGTTCTTTTGGAGCGTTTGAGGGCAGCCTTGGGGGCCACCTTCTCTCCCATGTGTGGTGTCCAAGCACCGAGCCTTTGGTATCAATCTCAGATAGCAGAAAGTTGCCTTGCTCTCTTAACTCTGAAACACTGCACATCAGTTGTTAAAATGAGGCTCTCAGTATGGAAACAATGTTCAGATATAACTAACAGGACACAAATTAGTTGCTTGCTTTATTAGTCATTTACAGCTCTCTTTTATTGTACATCTGAATAGGAGCTTCTGTGGGGGAGCAGGAGGGGAGGTTCTGAAATGCCCTTTGAAAATGCCTGAAAGAAAAATGGTCTACTACATTATGTTAATGTTTTGTAATGTCATTTTGATGAGTGGCTACTTGTTCTGACATGGCAATAGTTAAATAAACTCCTTTCTTCTTCAAGTCAGACATCTCAATGGTTTTACTTACAGTTATTTCCATATTTCTAAATCCTGATGCATTATTTTAGGTTTTACCCACATATATGTGTCTTTGTATATGTGTATACACTCATAATCTTATAGGTAAGGTTTTTTTTGCGGGGGAGCGTGGGGTAGGACATGGGTGGAAGGAGAATATTTGGCTCCTTTTTTAAAAGCTGAGACTGAATAGATGGCAAAGAAGGAGACAGTCCTCTTCGGCGATTTAATTTTGTTGATATCTTAGGACAGATAGACATCTTCCTCCCGACAAGAATAAGATCACATTCCCTAGTTTTTAGTTATTTCTCTTTGGCCCTTTGTCTCACAGCATAATTCTAAGTTAAGCTCTTTGCTATGCTACATTAGGTAGCTGCACCAAAAATGGCTAGACCCAGTGATTGTCTCAGACCGAACAGTTTGGGATGAAAATTTTTGTTGAATCATACTTTCTGTTTACTTGGTTAAAAACAGTGAAATTAACCGTAAAATGCAATTGAGAAAATGATACTATTCAGCAAAACACAGATTTCTAAGCTACCATGGCAAGATCAGCACCATGCAACATTTTTAATTCTTATGTAAAAAAAAAAGTGGCGTGTTAAACACTTTTAAAATGTATACAGCTCCACACCAAGTGAAGATTCTTTAAAGCAGGGCTGGTAAACTACAGCCTTAGGGCCTTTGAGCTAAAATGTCACTTACATTTTTAAATCAAGTAAAACTTTCTTCAGTTATGTGAAGACCCTTCTTAGCTCTCTGGCTTTACAGAAACAGTGCCGTCCGTACTTTCCCAGCACCTGTTTTAAAGGAAGCAAACGCTCACTGTTGGGGATACTTAAGTCGCTATACTGAAATTCAGGGTCTAAAAGAAAAAATTAAAGGCCGAATTAGAATCCTCATTTCTGGCGTTTTGGTGATCGTTTTCAACATTGTAGTGCTGTATTTTGCTGGGTTTTGGCACTTTAGCAGTCAGTCTGTCTTGGAACATTTCTATTGACAGTGTAGATTGGCTTATGCGTGCTAGTCTTTGTCACCACATCACAGCTTTGCTTCTTCCAGACCACTGGGAAATTGTATACACTCAGTTGGTTCTCTCATTTGTTACAAGCAAATATGGCATTTCTGCGTCAGCTAGGTGCTGGGCCTGGAGTCAGGAAGACCTGAGTTCAAATATGCCCTCAGACATTGAATAATTGTGTGACACTGGACAAGTCACTTAACTCTGCCTCCGTTTCTGCATCTGTAAGAGGAACTGGAGAAGGAAATAGACTCCAGTATCTCTGCCAAGAAGTCCCCAGATGGGGTCATGAAGGGACATGATTGAAGTGAGTGGACAGCAGCAACATCAAGACAGTTATGTCTACAACATTGGTTTGTAGTGTAAAATCCAACCGAAATGTTTACCAGAGAGCCAGAATTCAGCCATATGGTGAATCGTTATTGTAAGGACCAGATAACGAATCATTCATAATTAATACTTCATTAACAAAGGTAACCAAGTTCCAAGTAATAGTATCTGCAGGTCAGATTTCTTTTATCCTCTCTTACGCTCAGAACATGTATCCGAATAAGAAAGTAAACAGAAAAGAATTCGGAGCCTGTCCCACGCAGGTGAAGTAAAACATTCACATTTTATTCTGTGAGAGAAGACCTCAGGCTTTGAATAGAGTTTATTAATTGATAGTTAAGACTTAAAAATTAATTAAGACTTAAAAATCTGAGACACTTGCAACAGAGATCACAGGTTATGGCATTGGGGGAGATTATAGTAGTCTATGGAATGATGACTGAGTCATGGAGAAAAATTTATATTTGGCATATTTTGGTATGGCCTGCTAGAGAAGAAAAACATCTGATCTATTAAAATTAGGTATTTCAATTTGAAATGGTTGTTAACTGCAAAACTTTTTTTAAAATGAGATAATCATCATAGAGCCTAGTTATTCTGTGCGTTATTTTCCTTTGAGGGATTCTAGATGTTTAAAAATGTAGGAATCACCTAATTATTAGCCTGACCCTATATGTAAATTTTAAGTCATGATAGGAGCAGTAACATTGCCATATAATCTTTTTACCTTACAAATACCACATTACCTGGAAAAAATAGTATATATACTATGTTTCCAAAGCGTGGAAAAAAATTTCTAAATTAATAGTGGTGATCTAACATATCAGAATACAGCTAATCTTACTGATGCATCAGGATAACCCTTGATTGTGTGGTTTAACATTCTTGTACTAAGTTGGATTTGTCATTGCTTTTTGTTTCTAGCTTAATTTAAAATTTATCTAATTATAGGATATACAACATTTGATCTATGCTTACTTGAGTTCAAAATAATTGAATTTATCTCACCAGTATAATTTTTTTTAAATTAGAGCCTGTGTTTTTCATTTCATTTTATTCAAGGACTTAGATTAAGTGAATTTATAGAAACCTAAAGATAAATAACAACTACATTGTCTCTCAAAGGAGCTAGATAGATGCTTTGGGAACAATCTTTTTTGAACTTAAAACTTATGTGAGTAGCTGCAAATATTACTAGGAAACAATAGAGTGTCTTTTCACTTGTTTGTAGAGAATTTAGATTTTGATGTTGAAATCTATGTAATCAAACACACTGTGTAAATAATAAATTTGGTTAATCAAAAGTGCATGTACGTGACTTTTTTTTTTTAAAGGCAATTGGGGTTAAGTGACTTGCCCAGAGTCACACAGCTAGTAAGTGTCAAGTGTTTGGTCTGAGGCCGGATTTGAACTCAGGTCCTCTCCTGACTTCAGGGCCAGTGGTCTATCCACTGCGCCACCTAGCTGCCCCTAGTACATGACATTTTAAAAAATAAACAGTTGAATTACATAATTGCATTTTCTATAGAGATAATGAATGGAATATGTATGAGTACATGTTTATCTGTAATTGGCTATTTTTGAAAAGATTTTCAGTTGTGAAAGTTTTACGTTATGACTGGCTTCTGTCACTGATGTACAGTAGGATAGAACTATGCTAAAAATTTTAAATGTCAGTTATTAACTAAAACTTTTTATCCTTCCCATGTTAAAACTTGCTTATTCTTTAATTTAAAAAATATTTGTGAAGTTGAAAGCAAAAATGTAAAAGGGCTGAGAAATAACAGATTATATTTATAGTTACACACTGATTTTAATGTTTAGGTCATATATACAAACTTTTGAACTTGGCTTTTTAATACTATCTTAGTTACCTAGGCAGACATTATGGAGCATGTCGATCTTAATATTTGTAAAGTTATACTTGTATTTTTACATAGTCTGTTACAAAAATTAAAAATCTTGAAAAGAAGGTGTTGTTTTTGTTCACCAACACAAACTCTTCAGTAAATGATTTCTTTGGTTAAGGAAAGTAACGAGGTCTCTGATTCTGGCATTTTAAAAATGATAGTTAGAGGGTTTCCCTGGTATTGGAGAAATTAATATATGAAACTAGAACTGTGTAAACAGATAAATGGATAGAGAAATTGGAGTTGGTGTTTTGTAATACAAGTATGTTACCTTAATATTTAATTGAAGTTTCCTTTATATTTAAAAATAATAAAACTCTGCGAGTGCTTTTAAGTTTGTTTTTAGGACATTAATTAAAGATATGAAGAGAGGTATGTGATGGCAGGGGCAGAATAGTTAAATCATTAGGAGCTCACATCAGTAAGATACCGAGACTAAAGCATCTCAGGCATTAGGTTACTGAGAATGTGATTTAATTAACAAAATTTAACCTTTGTATGTCTTAGGAAATGTTATTGTTTGAGGTTACGTGGTTTGTGTGTGTAGGTGGTAAGCCATTTGTTGTATTGTGAAATACCATCTTGCTGTGCTACCATTACTCTTTCATGCCACTAGAGGAAAAAGAACATAAGTACTATTTAAAATGAACTTGTTTCTTCCTAAGCAGCTGTAGCCTTCAGCCCTGAAAATAGGTCCCAACAAGAGGACTGACTCTACTTCTTTTTTTTTTTTCTTTTTGGTGAGGCAATTGGGGTTAAGTGACTTGCCCAGGGTCACACAGCTAGTAAGTGTCAAGTGTCTGATGCCGGATTTGAACTCAGGTCCTCCTGGCTCCAAGGCCAGAGCTCTATCCACCCCTGACTAATTCTAACCATGAAGTCACAGGCCAGTTTTTGAAGACTTCACAAGCCTTGCTCCCCGCTCCGGAGCTGATGAGGACAGTAGGAGGGCAGCCTGAAGAGAGCAGGCTAGCTGGGCCCAGGACCAGGGCAAGAGCCTCCTCTCAGTGTCCTCTGCTGCTCCTGGACATTCACAAGCTCCTAGGCCTGCAACCAGCTGAGGACAGTGTGACGGAAGAAGGTTTTCAGATTAGGAAATATTTGTAGCAACTTTCAGATTTATGTGTTGGATTGTGCTATCATGACCTCATATAAAATTAGGCGCAAAATGAAAATTTCCCTTTCAGGAATTCAAGGCCTGATCGGTAACTTGATGTAATCAAAAAAGCAGTGAACTTGGAATCCTAAGACTGGGATTGAAGCCTGTCACCACTTAGTGGTCATGTTACCTTGGGCAAGTCAATTAACCTGAGCCTGTTTTCTTTTCTGTAAAATGAGTACACTATTACCTGCCTCAAAAAGTTGTGAAAATCATTTGAAGTGTAGTGTGTTTGTAGATCTGAAAAAGCTATATCGTTGTAAACTTTTGGTAAGGCTTTAATGAGTGGAGACTTGGTAACCTTGCCTGGACAGCTGTGGTCTCATTTTGTGCCAAAGTTGTTCCTTTGACATATTCTCAACTCCTCTGTTTCCACTTGGGTCTGTGGTGACAGTTTCTGCCCGCTCCTGAAATGCCAGTGGATTCTAACCAGACAAAAATGAGAGTTTGATCATCAAAAATGTGGGGAATGGTTTTCTACTTCCTAATAATTATTGCTAGCACTGGAAGGTTCGTGGAAGCCTTTACAGTTATTATCTTATTGAGTCCTCACAAAATCTTTGTAAAACAGGGGCTGTTGTTATCCCTGTTTCACGGATGAGGAAACTGCACTTGAGAAAGATTAAGTGGCTAGGCCAGCATCACCTGGGCTTTAAGTATATGGGGCAGGATTCAAACACTGGTCTTCTGTTTCACTTAGCTGCCTCGGAATAGAGATGATAGACGATTAATTTGATTATTTGTGTTTTTTTCATTATTTGTTTATTATTATTATTTTGGAGCCAGGCCCTAATTTGTATGGTTGAGGGAATTCCCTCTACCAATGCAGAATACCTACTTTTTTGGATAGCCTTAGAGCTGAGTTCCTTAATCTGTAAGTCCATTAAATTTTTTAAAATCTTTTGGTGACTATTTCAACAAATGGCTTCCTTTGTAATCTTATGTATTTTATGCATTAAAAATCATTATTCTGAGAAGGGGTCCTTAGGCTTCACCAGACTGCTGCCAAAGGGGTTTCATGATACACACAGAAAGGCTAAGAACCTTCGAGTTCCCTGGATCACTGGAGTGACCTGTTCAGGGTCACACAGCCAAGTGTGTGACAGGCAGGATTTGAACCCAATCTTCTTGTCTCCAAGGCTGTCTCCACATAAACTACATCTCTTGTAAATTAAAGATTATGCTTAAATAATGTTAAATAAAATGCAAAAATTAAATCCTTATTTTTCACAGTAGAGCAAGCATTTGTCACATTTATACTGAGCTAAGTTACAGCTTATTCTCAGATCTTAGTTTACATATTCTGTTAACAACTGAAAAAAAGTACTCACTTTTTATTATATTCTCTAGCATCGGATAACAAAAATGACGTACTTCGTAGACCTGGTCAAGTTTTTTTTTTTCCCCCTTCTCTGATGGGCGTAAGAAAAAATGGTATCACTACTGTTTTCTAGCACAATAGTTCTCATATATTTTTGGTCTCAGGACCCCTTTGCACGCTTAAAAATTATCAAGGACCCCGAGAGCTTTTGTTTATGTGAGTTTTCTCTATCAATATTGTCTAGTATTTATTAGAAATTAAAACTGGTAAATTAAAAATTTTTATTAGCTTGTTAATCTTATTACATGTTAACATAAATGCTTTTTAATGAAAAATCAGCATTTTCCAAAACAAAAATAATTAATTAGAAAAATGGCATTATTTTACACTTTTGTTTTTAAAACTTTCTCACGCTTAGTAGAGTGCAGCTTGATTCTCATATCTGCAGCAGCATTCAGTGTATTTTAATATATTTGGGTTGAAGCATAGGAAGAAAATCTAGCCCCACACAGGCATTTAGTTGGAAAAAGTGAGAAGTATTTCAATAAGCAAATAACGTCTTCATGTTATTATGAAAATAGTTTTGAACTCACAGATCCCCTGAAAGTACCTTGGGGGACACCCCCCCCCCCCGGATTTGACAGCCGCGGTTAGAGATCTGCTGCTTTCGTGTATTGAGTGTACCTCAGTAGAAATACACAGGGGGCAATTTTGGAAATAAATTAACCCAGATAATTTGTGCAGCCCAGAAATGGATACTGCAAAGTTAGCCGTAAACTTTTAACAGGTTTTTACAGCATGATTCCACAGGGACATTTAAAAGCCTTTCAGGATTTTGCAGGTTGCCAAAAAATGTTCCTTATTTCTTCAGTTTCTTACTTAAAACCTTGACCTTCGCTGGTGAGTCCACGCCTCTGTGGATCTAGAGTAGCTTAGAAGACCCTGCTGGAAGCGCACAGCTGCCTTTCTGTGGGAAGTACAGAGTAGAACCTGTAACATGGAGGTGAACAGAAGCTGTGGTGCCTAGCATCTCTGTCTTGTTCAGAATACTCAGGAAGAGGGAAGAATGAGCAGCCAGCCGCTCCAGTAGAAGAGATATGGAAGCAAGGCAGCATCAGCGCCAAGCGCCCACTGTGTGTAGATCGCTTTACTGGGGGCCACAGACGAGAAGGGCATGATGAAGGGTAGTGAATCATGATGCATGCCCATTAGGGCACACCCTGCTTGTCCTGAAAGAACCTGGAGTAGAATTGGGGGCAGCAAAACAGGTCTTAGTGAAATGAATGACATGTCCAGTCACTAGGTGCAAAATAATTTAACTCAGGAGCCATTTATGTTCGAATCAGAAGGCAGGGCCTACCTGCTTCATAGACTCTTACACCATGTGATTTTTATTTATGTGATGCAGGGAGGAAGTTTTAATTTGATGTGTTATTTACCAGTTTGTGTAATAATGAACTGCCATAATGGGGTCCAGTGTGTTAGGAGTTAAAGAAACGTACTGAGAGACTTTGAATAAATAAGGTCATGAAACTGTCTAGACAGACTTCTTCTGAGACAACAAGCTGTTTTGTTTGTTAAATACATCTAGCATGCAGTGAAATAGACTCAGCATCGTCCCCCAGATATCCTAAGTGTGAAGAAATTAAAACATAGAATGTAAGCCCCCTGAGGGCTAGGGCCCATTAGTTTTTGTGTCTTCATTCCCAGTGCCCGGCACATGGTAGGGTAGGCCCTTAATAAATACTTGCCGATTGATTGCATTTACTTAGCACTTATTTGAGAAAAGGACCGCCATTTTTGTTTTTATTTTATTTTATTTTTTATTCTGTTTCATTTTATTTTTACAGACAGGTTCGAGGAGAGAACATCCTCAGATAAGAATGTAGACCCACTTTGCGCTTCACAGAACCACCCTCCAGAAGATCCTTTTGGTTCTGTACCTTTCATTTCTCACCCAGGCAAGTTACAGTTGTAACCACATCACTGCCATTTTTAAAAACAAGTAAATTCATTTCACTAAAGCAGTTTCAAACTGAATCGAGTATGTGATTCCTGAAAGTAGATTGGAAACTGTTTTTTCAACTTGACATTTTCATCCTTTTCATTTTAACATAGCATAGAGTACCATGGAGGTACCAACATATTCAGTTGTGCCTTTGCCAGGATATGAAATGCTAATTTACTTAACAGGGCCTGTACTCTTTCATTCATCCTTATTATTGAATCACGCTGAAAATGAAAAGTACATGTCTGGGAAAGCCCTGTTTTTGTTTTTAGATAGATCAAACGAGCCAGAAGGGATTCTAACCTTGTGTCACCATGCTGAAGTCCATTCCCTGGGTTGAACATAAGAGGAGCCAGCCCCGGTTCCTTTCTTGCAGTCTTTTTAATCTGTTTCAAGTGATAGAAACATTCAATTTTCACTCATCTTTTATTTTTAGTTTGCTCACACTCATTTTTAAAAGTTACCCTCTTGTATGTTAAATGTCATTTGCAGTTTCAGTGTTTTTTCTTTGTACATCAGTATATTCCAAAAATTACAGCTCCCTTCTCTCTTCCACAGACATAAAAGGTGTTATCTAAATATTTGTTGAATTAATAAATTATCCAGTAAGCAATTTTGGTGGCATAGATGATAGAATCTCATCACCTGACAGCAATAAATTGTTTCTTAATATTATCAATAAAACAAGATTGAAACTAGTTGAGGAAAATCCTCTGATTGCAAGAAACAATGCTATAAAATATGGTCATGTTTTTGCATAATGTATCCAAATGAGCACATTCAGATTTCTCATTGTCTTGGGTTTCTTAAAGGGATGGGGACTGGACTTGGTATTTCAGTGCTTACGGGGAACTCCTAGGTGAGAAAAAGCCCTTCACCATTTCAGGTCTGCCCCTTCTCTGAAGTGTCTGGAGCACTAGGAGGCTGTGATTTGCCCAGGGTTATATGTCCAGAATGTCAGCAGCAGGAGTTGAACACAGGTCTCCTGGTTGTGAGACTGGCTCTTTTATCTACATGTTTAAATCTGCATGTCATATATGTACTTGGGGAGAGTGAGGAGTATTGTTACTTTTGTTACTCTTAAGAGTCCTTGGGGCCATGTATCATAGAAAATGATAGTCACCCTAATATTTATCCCTTTCAGGGAATTCTTGAAAACATTGTTCTCTTTTTCCCTTTCCTCAAAGTCAGCTTTTGGTATTGATGATAAAATTGGTGTCAGAATATTAACAGGGGAAAAAAATTACACTGTTAATTTACATCTTCATGAACACTGTTGTTTGGGGAGCAAGGGGCAGCACAAAATGGGTATAGGAGAGAGAGAGAGAGCGAGCGAGCACATTATTTTTAATTCAGAATCGGAGGCGTAAGCTCGCAAGACCGTAACCGTGCAGCTCAAGTGCTGGTTACTCACAGTGACAGTAGGAGGGCTTAGCCTTTTTCCCCTATGCTTCACATGAGCTGCTCCAGCCTCCATGAATCTGCAGGCATCCCAAAGAGCAGGTTCTGGAGGCTTGGCCTTCTCTCTGAGACTACCCCTAATTTATCCTGGCTGTGTCTTTTTTATACATAGTTGTTTACATGTTGTCTTCCAGGCAAGGTGGGTTCTTTTGGCACCCCCCCCCCCTTTATTTTTTGGATCTCCAGTGCTTACTTAAGACGGTGCTTGGCACATAGGCATGTAACAAAGGCTAGTTGACTGATTCTTTTTTTTTTTTTAGGCAGTTGGAGTTAAGTCACACAGCTAGTAAGTGTCATGTGTCTGAGGTTGGCTTTGAATTCACGTCCTCCTGACTTCAGGGCTGGTGCTCTATTCGCTGCGCCACCTAGCTGCCCCTAGTTGACTGATTCTTCAGAGAAATAGAAAAAGAGATCTTAAGAGAAATAAAGCTAGTTTTAGGGATCTGAAGAACCAAAGCCTTTTTCTCAGAGTATAGGGCCTTTGGAAAAATAGTTTATTTAACTTGGACTTGTTAAAAATTAGAATCTTAAATAATTTTAAAATGTGCAAATGTAGAGCAAAAACCAATTATCTCTTAAAGGATGGAAATCTGATTAAAAGGGAAGTCATCTGAGTAGTGTGTGTTGCAGTAGAATCTTAACAGGAATATTTCTTTGGCCTTCCGGAAATATATGTGTTTGAAATTTTGTGGTAGCTTTCCACCAAGTTATCTGTTTCTAGGAGGACTTAACGTAGGCTGCACCGCTTCTCCGTGGTGGTCTCTTACTTGCCAGGTCTGACGTCTTTCAGAGTCCTCTTCAGACTGTCTTCCTGGGGCTGCTCACTTCACTCTTCCCCAGCTTCTCCTAGTAGCCAGGATTCTGTGAAGTCGTCTCTTTTGCAGTTTTTATGATTCAGTAAAATCGCCTTACATACATTCTTGTACCGTGTCTTCCATGTTCAGCTGTTTGCCGTTGACGGATGGTTCTTTTCCCTTTTCCTTTTCCTCTCCCTTTCAACCGCAGAAGCTTTGTTTTGCCTGCAGCTCTTATTCCCTTCACTGCATGCTCCCTCTTAACCTTCCTTCCCCCTGTTCCTCCCCACCCCTCACTTCTCCATCCCCATTTGTTTCCCTTTTGGGTTTGACATATTTCTAAATTGTGGGTTCAGCCCTCTTTTGTTCCTTTCAGATGAGGGAGGTTCATCCTATACCTGCTCCCCCTCTCACTCTGTGTTTGTATACAAGCACCTCAATTATGATGAGAAATGCCGATAACCATCGCCTCCTTCCTCTTTACTATACTAGTGTATTCCTTTTAGCCTCCCTTCTCCTTTTCTTCTTCAAACCCTCAGGACAAGTTTAATCCTCTCCCAGGACCTTTCCATTCATTCATTCATTCATTCATTCATTCATTCATTCATTTATTTTTGGCTAGGCAGTGGGGTTAAGTGACTTGCCCAGAGTCACACAGCTAGTAAGTGTCAAGTGTCGGAGTCCAGATTTGAATTCAGGTCCTCTGGGGCCTGTGCTCTATCCACTGCGCTGCTTAGCTGCCCCTCCTGGGACCTTTTTAAAAGGAAAAACAAAACAACTCTCGCAATAAATGCTTTCTGAAGACATTTAAGATTTTAAAGGGACATGTATGTCTTTTCCCCCATTAGAATGTTAGCATCACATCTTCATACAGCTTCTTCCAATTTTTCAAATACCTTGACCTTCCTAGGTTTCTTTTGTATTTGCATTTCAGAATTTTTACTCGGCTCTGGTCTTTTTATCAGAAATCCTAGAAAGTTCTCTATTTCATTAAAGGTTCATTCTCTCTCCACCCACAAGTGGGATGACATTCAGCTTTGTAAGTTTGCTGCTCTTTTCTGATGACTTCCCAGTTTCTTCCACAATTTAAATTTTTTTTTGATGCAAGATCATTTCTTCTAGGTGTTCCTGTAGAAAATCCGCTTTTTTCCTTTGAGTCTCTGCTTGTAATTGTCAGGGAGTTTATATAATCCTTTTGGGGAGATTTGCATTAATCTTTGATACTGGTCCTTGCTAGTTGATGAGTTTTGACTTTGTGTCTAGGCCAGGTTCTGCACCCTGCTGGGATTTTGGGTGAGATGGCTGGCTGTGCTTGGTTTATGCCTCTACCTCCACCTTAGACCTCCCTAGATCTTTTACATTCAGAGTGGTGGACTTGTAGGGCCGTTTCTGGTATCTGAGAATAGATTATTGGGCATCTCAGGTCAATCAGCAAGCCTGTGGGAATACAAATACAAGCAAAACAAAAATGGTCCCTGCCCTGGAGCTTGCATTCTAACGGGGTAAGAGATGTTAAAGGAAGCTGGGAGAGAGGGAGGAAGGGAATCACTGGGAAGCTCGATGGAGAAGCCTGGATCGAAGCTTGGTGAGAGATAAAGAGGTGGTTGGCCTGAGTACCCTTTTGATGAGGTCAGGCTCCAGCGTCCTTCCAGGGTGTGAATTTTAGGGCTGAAGTGATCTGGGGTGAAGAGGTTTCTGGAGCATGATGGAGAAGTCTGGAATGCATCCTGTTTCAGCTGGGCTTCATATCCTCCCTGCCTCGGTGTGTCGAGGCTGTCCTGTTCTGAGTCTAAGGCACCATGGGAACTGGCACCGGTCCCTCCCTTTTCCTTCCAAGCTTCCACTGTAGGCGTTCTGACGACCCTAGGGCTTTTCCACCAGTGCTGTGTGCACATTTTGTCCTAGACAGGGCCTTACATGTGCTTCTCTGGCCATGCTGGACTTGCTTTGCTGAAGAGCTTCCGTTTCCTATTGGCTGTGGGCTTCTGGCTGACTTTTTGGGCAGTTTGGCAGGGGAAGAAATAACTTGCTATAGGTTCCCCTTGGGTCTTTTGATCATCATTTGGACATCAGAGTTTTGCTCAAGAGGTATTAGCCTCATTAGCCTCACATTCAGGCAGCCATCTTGGTTGATCACAGATGCCACGTTCTCCCTACATCTTTCCCTCTTCAGGCATCATCAAATGATGCCAGGGTTCTTCACCATTGTTGGTTATATCACGTGAATAATCTCTAGTTAGTAATTGAAAGCCATACTCCAGACACGTCATCCGATCTGTCTGCTCACTTAAGGCATAGTGGAACTTGCGTTTGTGTTTTGATGCTGTGACTCAGTGCAACTTAGCAATACACTGGCTTCTTTAGCTGCCATGTCACAGTTTTGACTTACTTTGAGCTTAAACCCACTGGAATTCCCAAATCTTCTTCATGGAAACCGTTGTGTACACGTACTTCCCCTTTATACTTGCGAAGTTGATTTTCTGAATGTGGGGCTTGGATTAGATGATTCTAGTAGACTGACCTTCCAGCTCTAAAACATAGGATCTTGGGGTAAGACAGGGTTCCTGTCCCCCAGTCCATTGCTCTTTCTACTCATTTTATTTTGGATTGGGCCTGTATTTCATTGTTAAAGGGAACTCCCAATAAGGAATCTCCTGTACCAGAGTAGATTTTTGACTTTACAGTTTAATCTTAATTT